TGTACTAAAATGATGACAACAAAAATGGTAAATATCCTATGCATTGTAGGACATTTATATTTCCATACTAATTGGCTAAAACTGAGAAAATTTATTCTTTATTTCTTTTTTTAATTATTAACAACAATACGTTTATGATAAAATTATGAAGACATACATTTTTTTCAAATTAACAATTAATAAAATTGGAAATTAATATTAAAAAATGTACACAATTTTTACGTGCAACCAGATTTAGTATACACTTAAATTCACTCATTGAAACATGAATCATCTTTGTTTGAGAGCGCATTAGTCTTGTCTGAAAGTTTTTTTTAGTGTGAGTCTATTCCATTTGTGTATTTGATCTCTGCAGGCTTTCAATGCTTCTAATGTAGCCTGATAATCTCCCAATGATCAGGTTGACATAATTATGATCTGAAAATATAATAATACATTTTTTTTAACTTGGTAACGTCTGGTTTTTATATGCCGGTAAGGGATGTATTTTGGTATGCCATTGTATGTTCATCCATCCGTTCGAATGTCAACACTTTGTTCAACAACTATAATTTGCTTTAAACTCTTCCCATGAAATTTTAACACAAAATAAGGATTGAGTTCCGTTTTGATTTTGATTTTTTTTGGTCTGTCGTTCAAAAGTTGCAGGACCTTTCAGATTTTGGGTAATTTTTCACATCTCACATAAAACTTGAGATTGCTAAGAGTAATTACCTCAAGCTGAACAATGTTGTTTGGAACTTGGGATCGATAAACATAACCACCTTTTCCATTTTAACACTTTTTATATTTGTCATTCCAGATTTACTGAACTGTCAGATTTAAGTAAAATTTTTACACATCACACACTAACTAGAGTATACTTAGATTAGTTTACTCAAAACTTTAGACTGATCAATATTGGGATTGATAAAAGTAAGACTTTAATTAATTTTTCATGCTTAGATGAATTTCCTTGAAACTACACACAATTGTTGGATTTTGTACAAGGTTGGTACCTTTTGATTTTGAAAATTTTCCTTTTTTTATTCCAGAGTAATAGGACTTAAACTGCCAACTTTAATTTAATTGTTCATGATTGATTGACTGATTGTTGGTTGCTTAACGTCCAGTGGAAAATATTTCATGCATATTCAGGACGAGAACAAATTAACAATAAATACAATAGGTAGGTTCTGTAATAGAGGCGACCGGGATTAAGGTCGGAGAAATTTTGACTGCCACGGGAAATGAGGGTATATTGGTTAGGGATAGAAATTTAGCCTTGCAACAGGTCACCTATGGACCCCTCAAAGAGTTGTTGCAAGGGTTCTTAACGTGCAAAGAGCGTGGCACTCTCTTTACATGAGGCATCGGATTTAACGTCCCCATTCTGACTGAACGTGGCTGCAAATTTGTACATCCCGCACAGCCAAACGGACGCCACACTTTTGCAAGGGTTTTACTGCCGGTTGGAGGAAGACCAATGGTGACCATACTTCTATTCCCCAGTCACCCTTGGGGTTAATTGTTCATGTTATACGCTTTAAATAAATCAAATTACTGTAAATTGAAACTAACTTTTATCGTTGTTAGGGTTGATGAATATGTAGAAAAAGGGTGTATTATGCGGTCTTGATGCAGCTGTTTATGTATAATGCCTATAGGTGTAAAACCACTAAATCATAGTACGTCACATCCGGTTGCATACGAAAAAGGGTCGAACAAAATATTCCCTTGAATTTGACAGTTGTAGGAAATTAATCCTGCATTTCAATGCAGTGAAAATTTCTGAGTCATAAACATATATCTTGGGTGTTTCCAAGCACCATTCTTTTTTTATTTGGTGTTTCTATAGAATATTTTGGAAACTTGAGGTTACATGCTTGCTAAAGCTTGTACACAGGAAAAAAGGGGTGGAAATTTGACTAGTTAACTTCCATTGATGTTTAGTATCTTATATGCAATGCAATGATATGTGAAATTTTGTCTGTAGTACTTGACAGGATAAAACTTTACTCATGCCAAATATTTCTTTATTTGAAATGAAGTTAAATTCTGCACAATATTTTGAAAAGTGCAAATTTAACAAAGACTAATAGGGGAAAACAATGGTGGTATAACACCTATATGTGATGGAAGCAGAAAAGAGACAGCTGATTGCCTTTTATAAATATAGATATGTGATAAGATATCATTGTGATGTCATGCCTACTGTTGTTTTGAAAGAAGTCTTGAATAAAGAAATGCAAAATATTTGTATTATAGAATAACTTTCACAGTCTATAGCATAAACCATGCAGTTGATGTAAAACGCAATCTGATCATATGATTAATATCACCATATTAGTGTATAGAAAACCGCTTGAGAGTATTTCTTTTGATATATACTGGTCCTGTATTTACTCAAATATACCTAGTACAAACAATTTTAACTTAATTATTAGAACAATTCAATTTATAACTTTCATAGAAAATATACTTACACTTGTAGTTGTATGATGTACCAATCAACAACTTCAATTGATGCATATTGGAAACTTTATCAATAATTGTGTGTGAAGTTCTTCTGGTTGATGTAGCTGAAAGTAATAATGAAATAATAAAATGAGTATAACTAAAAATAAAGTCGTGTGGTGAAATGCAAGATCCTGTATTATTTAACATATAAAAAGTTTGAAAAAATAGGGGGGGGGGTATATTTGACTATAAAAACTGAATGCAACCTCTTTTATGATTCTTTCACATGCATCAATCTGATGTATCTTGTATCTTACTATCCCAATTAAAGAACGATATTGAGTGTTTCAGTGTCACATACATTTATAACTACAAAATCTAAGATTTGTCAATGGTAATTGCTTTGATAAAACATGGCTTTTCATCAAACTTAGTTTTCTTTTTACAGTTTAAACATATATATAAAGATTATAGGTAACATTTTTTTTATTATTTTATGACTATACATTTACTGGATAATAATGGGTAAAAAAAATTAAGAACAAAAAAATATTGAATAAGAATATATTCTTGAAAAAAAATAGGAACACAGAAATGAAAATGCTCCCATCCAGACCAATGTAAATTAATACATATAATAAAAGCAAAATGCATAACAACTTAACTTTTCACAGTAAAGTATAACTGGGACATAATGTATTAACGTTAGTATAATCGTCCCAGATAATATAGATATAAGAAGATGTGGTATGAGTGCCAATGAGACAACTCTCCATCCAAGTCACAATTTGTAAAGGTAAACCACTATAGGTCAAAGTACGGCCTTCAACACGGAGCCTTGCCTCACACCGAACAGCAAGCTATAAAGGGCCACAAACACAGACTAGTGTAAAACCATTCAAACAGGAAAACCGACGGTATAATCTATATAAAAACCGAGAAACGAGAAACACTTATGAATCACATCAACAAACGACAACCACTGAACATCAGGTTCCTGACTTAGAACAGTTGCAAACAAATGCAGCGGGTTTAAACGTTTTAATAGGCACCAACCTTCACCTTAACCTGAAACAATAGTGTAACATCACAACATAGAAAGACACACTATAAAATATTGATTGAAATGGCTTAACCTAATCATACCATATATTTACTTTTCAAGTTAAAATAATGATTGTTTTATTTCTTTAATCGATGCAATTATACATGAAGTTAGTTTTGAGAAGTTCAGAGATTGGTATGTAGATGAAGTCTAATTAAATAATACTAGTTGGAACCCTAACTCAAGTTGGCTAAAATAACCTGTTTGTGGCCTTGTGTCAATCCAAAATTTATCCCTGGAGTCCAATTTTGTCTTTTATAAAATATTTTTAATTCCATATGGAGCCGCTTCTCGGGAAAACAACATTTTTTTCTATATATATCTGATATTATGCGTACGTTTAGGAACCCCCTTATGGCGTCGGGCTTGAGGTATATCGTGAAGACTGTGAGTGGTCTGCAAACGAGTTTAATTTGCTGATGATGTGGGTGTCAGTACATTAAAGGGATGAATGATTGTTATCATCAGCTAAAACCTTAAATATTCCTTAAATTGCACACGCGTGCAGACGTCAAACTACAGAACTGATGTGATTTTATGTTTTTACATTGAGGAAGATTTTTTTGCAAAGTCGACCGAGTTTAAGCCAGAATTAGTATATACAAAAAATTCGTAAACTTTTTATGATATAATTTGGATTGAGCTCTTTTTTACTTACAATAATGTTTTTGTACATATATACTAGTAAAGTTGGTAAAGATATCCTCATTCATCAATGTTCAGCCATATTTGCTCCAGTAGCTACGAAAGGTCAATCCGGGTCACACAATTTAAAGCTCGGGTTAAGAAAAAAGCCGACGGCAGTGATTTGTGTAGAGTAGTTTTCGGACCGGAACTGGAACTGCCGGGGAGTTTGACACAGTTATTACAATGAAATGAAAAAGAAACATTTCTCGTTTACGAAATATTTCTACTGTTCCTTAATTACCTTGTGTGTGTTGTCTAGACGAACCCTTTGATCACAAATAATGAAACAATCTGCCAACAGCGAGCTGTCAGTTTCCTTTTTTATTTTCTTATGTATAATGTTGTAGTCACTTAATTATGCTTTATTTATTTGTTTGTTAAGATGTTGATTGTCATTTGTGTCAGAGTTTCTAATATTAATGACCAGAAATCCTCGGCAAATAACTGCATCTGAAGCAAAAGTAGTTAGGATTACATTAAACCCACAGGCACTTGTCTCAGACACAAGTGCCTGTGATTAGACCCCCTCAACTATGTCGGAATTAACATTAGAGACTCAACTATGTTAGGATAAAATTAGAACCTAATCTATGTCGGGATTACATCAGAGGAATGCATATGGTCTTCATTGTTTATAACTGAATTATACCAGTTTCTTTTTTTTTAGGGGGATCGCCGAAAACAAAATTGATGATCATATCATTTATCATGTGTTATCTGAGCTATAAGATGCTTCTAGGAATATTTATGTAAGTTTTCTTTTCTACAGTTCCAACGAACAAGGCTTGTAATTTTGAGTTTTCGCTTTGCAACTGGATGCCGGATTCAGATATCGATGGTATTAATTGGGAGAGGCATTTCCCACGTAAAACCTCACTGCCAAATAAAGACCACACTACCAATTTGAGTAAGTAATTATATTGCCACTATTGCTATAATTACTAATTTCTATTTTTTTTTTTTAAATTAACATCATTGTTTAAAATAATGTGGATTTTATTTGATATCAACACGACATCCTTGTAACATCGAATTCAGTTACATCAATTGAAGTCATATGCTCCTTTTAACATGACTTAAGAGAAGAATGTTTTATATAACTGAATGGTCATTTGTTTAATACTAAACAAGTGACCCAGTTATTACATTGTTGTCTTTCCGTATTATAATTCGCCGACGTATTTACCATATACAGTGACATTAACAACTTTTACAATCCCACTGCGCAAGTGCAAACAAAATCGTAATGGAAAATAAAGTTAACAAATATAGAACGAAAGGCAGTGTTAACTATTCTTACAGATAAAATAAATACACCAACACGACTTAGTTTAGAATATTTGCTAAATATGAATAAATGTATACCAACAAAAGTTGTAACAATACATCAAAACATTCATGAATTCCACTATCCATAGGAAAATGAGACAAACAAGTATAGTTCTTTGCAAAGCAAAATATTCTAATAATATTATCCATTGGATTAATGAAAAGAATGGTATAAACACACACACGTACAAAAGAAATTACAGACACAAACATACCGTCGGGAAATATATTTCTAAATTATCAAAGTCTCGTGAACCTACGCCTTATCTTAAATCTGAAGGTCAGATGTTTTTATAACCGATAGATACAGCTGAACTTTCAACACTTCACCATTCGAATATTTCAAAAATTAATACTGAGCATGAGCTTCCAAATAATGAACCAAACCTTCAAATTTTCCATGTCACTCCATTATTTTTATGAAAAAGGGGGTTTGTCTTGATCTGGTTAATTGCCGACCTATTTCACTTACTAGTATAGTATAAAAAAAACTATGGAGACATTTTTATTTTGTGATTCACAGTTGATATTTCGTTTGTGGTGTCATGGAGTGCTGTAGTAAATTCATGGGAGGTGTCCGTTGTTATTCTGCGGTATACATGTTGTAATGTACTATTATATTAGTTATTTATGTATTTCTCTGTGCTGAGTGTTCTTGCGATTATTTGTACTGTATTCCTGTCACGTAGTCTTGTCATTTTAGCGGTATTTTTAACATTGCCATATAATATAAGCAGGAGGTTAGGCTAGCCATACAACCAGGTTCAACCCACCATAAAATTGAGAATGGAAATGGGGAATGTGTCAAAGAGACAACAACCTGACCAAAGAGCAGAAAGCAGCCCAAGGCCACCAATGAGTCTTCAACATAGCGAAAAAATCCCGCACCCCGGAGGCGGGCTTCAGCTGGCCCCATTAACAAAATGTGTACTAGTTCAGGACGGTACACTAAACTCCGAAACATATAAACGAACTAAAATTAAAAAAAAACATATAAGACTAACAAAGGCCAGAGGCTTCTGACTTGTGACAGGCGCAAAAATGCGACGGGGTTAAACATGTTTTGTGAGATCTCAACCCTCCCCTATACCTCTAGCCAATGTATAATAACAGCAATACGCACAGTAAAACTCAGTTTAAAAGAAGTCCGAGTCCGATGTCAGAATAGGTAACAGAAGAAACTAAGCAAAATGACAATGATACATAAATTAACAAAGGACTACTAGCAGTTACTGACATGCCAGCTCAAAACCATAATAAAATTGATTGAAAAATTATGTCTTCATCATATGAAAATCACGCAAAACCCCTCCCGTTAGGGGTTTAGTATCATACCATCATAAAATATATGAGAAGAACATAACACATATCATGCCAACAACTGGTTTTAAATGTGTTTATTTCCGATGCAAAGACCCTATGCGTGAATCAATATTAATTCCAAAATAAGCAATCTTTAATGACCTGACAACAGTATCGTAACTATATCCCTTTTTAATAAATCTGTTTAAAGGTTATGTTATCTTCTGAGGTGAATGACGACATTTTTGTGCTATGTTTTCTTTAATAAATGTCCTGTGCCACGTTAGGAATATGGCAATTGTTGTTTACAGTCTGTTTTATGTATGTTTGCGTTTTTACTTTGTTGCAGTTCAGTGTTTCAGTTGTTGCGGTGTTTTCCTCTTATAGTTGATGTATTTCCCTTGGTTTTAGTTTTTTACCCTGATTTGTTTTTTGCTTTTTTTAACCGAATTATGACTATTGAACAGCGGTATACTACTGTTGCCTTTATTTATGGACTACCTCTTATGAACTTAATTATCTTGGACTGCACATTTTTTTTACTTGTCAGTGGTATGGTTGCTAATGAGACAACTGTCCATTAGAGACAACATGGTTCACCGTACAATCGTCAACACTGAGCAACACCCATACCATATAGTAATCTATAAGAACCCACATGACACATAATAATCAATTTAAATGGAAAAAAATCAAGATCCGATTTATGATAAAACAACAACCTAAAATAAATATAACATACAGCAACCTACGGCAACAACTGAATTAAAGTTAATTAAAATTAGATAACATAATATTTAAGTTCTGGACAGGCACATTCAAAATTGACTGGTTTTCATTTTTAGTATTTTTTGTTCATTAAGAGATGAAACGGATTGAGCAACAAAAACATCCTATAAAAGCTCTCTCCGCATTACATGTACAAGGTATATAAAAACCTGGATTTTTAATATTGAAATTACAGTGAATTGATACACACAACAATACAGGTAACTGATGTTATTTTTCTTTACTCAATTAAATAAAGAAAATTTGACAAACTTGAATCTTGCCGTCTTAAGAGATGAGATAGAATTCAATCAGTTCTGCACAATTAATCCATTCAACTTGTGAATAAACATAAACTTGGAGATTCCCCCATACTAGGAGGTGTATGGCAAGTAGGGGATGAAAATATAATTTTCATTTCTCAAAGTATAAACGGTTTGTCTTAGACAATATGGTTGGGATAACTCATATTACTATGCAGATGTCATCTCTTTTTATGTTTTATAAAACAGATTTTTTTTCTATTCTCTAGAATTTCTAATACTAATACAATGAAAGTCCCAACTATGTACTGGCTTCCGAAGGTACACAAATCACCTTACAAATATAGATTTATTTCGTCTTCAAGTCATTGTTCCACTACTAAATTGTCTATTATACTTACTAGTACACTTGGTACAATCAAAAACCTGATAATAAATTGTTCAAATAAGGCCTTTGAAAATAGTGGAATTAACTACTTTTGGAGTGTCAAAAACTCGTTGGAAGTACTTGATAAATTGCATGCATATATTGGTGATTTTGAATCTGTTCAAAGTTTTCATTTTTCTACCCTATATACCACTTTGCCTCATATTCTTATTAAGAAAAAAATTCACACACCTAATTAAATGGGCATTTAAAAAGTCGGAATGCGAATACATATGTTCAAACTCTTTTAGGTCATTTTTCAGTAGCAACAAACAAAAGAGCTATCATAATGTCAATTGGACATGCTTTGATACTATATCTGTCCTTGAATTTTTACTTGATAACATTTTTGTTCGCTTTGGAGATTCCGTATATCGTCAAGTTGTCGGAATTCCAATAGGGACTAACTGTGCACCACTTATTGCGGACCTGTATTGTTATGAGTTACAATTTATGACTAAAATCAGCAAAGACCCATCGAAACAACATCTGATACAAAAATTTAACAATACTTTTAGATATTTGGATGATATATTGGCTCTCAATAATGACGACTTCAGTATGTATACTAAAGAAATTTATCCTGTTGAACTTACCTTAAATAAAGCTAATACTAACAATGACCACTGTCCTTTCCTCGATCTTGATATCTATTTCATTAACGGGAAGCTTAATACAAAAATTTATGATAAAAGAGATGATTTTTCATTTCCTATCGTTAATTATCCATTTTTAGATGGTGACGTTCCCTTGTCACCATCTTATGGTGTTTATATATCTCAGCTTGTACGATTCGCTCGTGTATGTAACAACGTATTAGATTTTAGCGAAAGAAATTTATGTATTACTGAAAAATTATTACACCAGGGTTTTCGATATCATAAACTAGTCAAAACATTTACTAAATTATATCATCGGTATAAGGACATCATTCGTAAATATAACTCAACATGCAGACATCTTATACGTTCGGGTATTTCACATCCAATCTTTTATGGTAATATTCTTTACAAAGCAAAAAAATGTCAGTATTCACATCAAAAGCTAACAAAACCTTTAAACAGACTTATTAAGAAGGGATATAGTTACGATACTGTTGTCAGGTCATTAAAGATTGCATATTTTGGCTTTAATATTGATTCACTTATAGGGTCTTTGCATCGGAATTAAACATATTTATTCTAAAACCAGTTGTTGGCATGACACGGGTTATGTTTTTCTCATATATTATATGACGGTATAATACTAAACCCCTAACAGGAGGGATTGTGCCTGATATTCATATGATGAAGACATAATCTTTTAATCAGTTTAATTGAGGTCTGGAGCTGGCATGTCAGTAACTGCTAGTAGTCTGTTGTTATTTATGTATTATTGTCATTTTGTTTATTTTCTTTTGTTTCCTATTCTGACATCGGACTCGGACTTCTCTTGAACTGAGTTTTACTGTGCGTACTGTTGTACGTTTGTTTTTTCTACATTGGCTAGAGGTATAGGGGGAGGGTTGAGATCTCAAAAAACATGTTTAACCCCGCCGCATTTTTGCGCCTGTCCCAAGTCAGGAGCCTCTGGCCTTTGTTAGTCTTGTATCATTTTTAATTTTAGTTTCTTGTGTATAATTTGGAGTTCAGTATGGCGTCCATTATCACTGAACTAGTATACATATTTGTTTAGGGGCCAGCTGAAGGACGCCTCCGGGTGCGGGAGTTTCTCGCTGCATTGAAGACCCATTGGTGGCCTTCGGCTGTTGTATGATCTATGGTCGGGTTGTTGTCTCTTTGACACATTCCCCATTTCCATTCTCAATTTTAATTCAATGTGAAATTATGTATGGAGAAATTACGCCGTCGTCCAGTTCAAATTGCTAGCTTATATTTGAATATTGTCAAGCAGTTTAGACTCGTGTTGAGTATAGTTGCCTCAAACGACAACCCCAGACTCTAATATTGGTCTGATAAAAGCATACTAAATACGTACACTACGCGAATTCCTGTCTGAAAAGGGTTTAACTTGTTAAAGTACAGATAAAAAAGAACAATATTTTGTATTTCTATTATCAATGTTTGTTCCCTGATTTTGGTAACTGAAACGTTATTCAAAGAGGATAGTGGTTATCAATTTCATCCATCTCTCAACTTCTACATTAATCACAAAAAATACGGGCAAAACCTCCCTTTTTCTAATAAATACACTATCGTTTTCTGACAGTTAAATTAAACAAGTCATGATTTAGCCATTTTTAAGATCTTAACCATCAGTCAAAGAAGTAGCTTTAATATCATGATTATTGTCTATTGTCTGCTACACAGGTAAAATAGCTACGGACGTATCACGGACGTTATGAAATACGTCCGTAAAACATCCGTATCACGGACGTTTTACGGAAAAATAGTACCACGTCCGTAAAACGGATCTTCCGTATTACAGACGTTCTGTAAAAGCACATGTTTTATTTTCATTAGAAAAACATTGTTTAATATTTGCCTTATACTTTTCGTTCACTATAACATTAAGAAACTGATACATCATCGTGCAAAAAGAAAATATCATGTTTTGATTTAGCATAAAGTTAAAGTTTTTGACATCCCGTCATGAATTAAGGGTATACTGCCCTGCAAATATAGCATGAACTTGTCTCTTGGGTTTTTGTGTTTCTGGTTTGCTGTCTCATAGTAAAGGTGCCAGGCATGATGTATCTATGAAGGTCAATACAAGTAAATGTCATATATATATATATAGAGCGATATGCGTGAATGGCATGTTCTTCACAAGTGCTTTTCAAAGTATTCTTATACGTGTATCGCATATTGTACACTCAAGAAATACGCGTAAAGTGTGATTAAATCCTGATATATATATATCACTGACATTTATAAGTAAACTGAAAGGCATGTTTTACATACACATGTAAAATGTATATGGCAAATATTTGCATTACGTATGGGAACAACCGAGGAATAAGAAACACAGCTAAAACATATGTTATGGCTCTCTCTTTGTCTTAAAGAACTACACACATTTGAATACTATTATATTTGTGTTTCGTACAGTGGTTATACTGAGCTATGTCACCATTAATCCACAGTCCGTTAAATAGACGTAATTTAACAATCTGTATGATGGACGTGATACGGGTGAATACGGATGTAATACGGATAGGAACCAACGGACATTTTACGTCCGTGGTACTAAACGTCCGTAAAACATCCGTTTAATACGGACGTTTAACGTCCGTAGCTATTTTACCTGTGTATAGCTAATAAAGAAGTGTCATCTGCAAAAAAAGTCTACTGTCATTTTAATGTCACTTGCAACTATGATATCATTTATATAAGAAGCAAGTAAACGGTTTAGAGATTAGGCTAGCAACCAATTTTAAAATTCTAAGACTTATACCAATTTGAACAGCTGGTTTATTTATGTTTAAAAAATTTAACCTGGTCTAAAACGTCTTTCTCAGTGATGACAAATGTGTTTAAACGCCGTAGAAGGGGTTGTTTGATATTTAAATTGACTGGTTCCGCATTAATATGATTAAGTTTGTTTTATTATTCAAATGAAGGTTAGATATTTCGGATTTGTCAAATGGATGAATCAAATTCAGCCATCATGTTTAGATAATGGGGATGAATATTTTATTTGTAAATTGTTATATATGACACTGACCTTGGAGGATAGGTTTTGTTCTACACCTTATGATGTCAATTGCGCTTATAGTCATTTTTTTCCTTTTTAACTAAATCAATACTTTTATCACGAATTTTCTAATTATTTTCCATTGATCTGGATTATTTGAAGGTTTTGTTTTGTGGTGAATTATAGTAAAATGTCTTATCTTGATTCTAATTAAGTTGTTCATTAGTTCGCAATGGTACTGCACTATATGCGTAATTTGAAAATGCCTGTCTCTTCCGTGATGCTGAAGGAAAAATAGTTTAAAGACCAAAAACATAGCACAAACATTGCTAATCTGATATTAATCGAAAATGACCAATAAGAATAGCCAAATATATAAAATCCGAGCTATGCCTGAAGAAGGAAACATTTCTTATTTCTTATATCTCTGATATCAAGTTGTGCAATTCTTTTATTCATACATTTATTTTTGGTAAAGGGAAGTGTTTATTAGCAAACAGTTGACATTCCAATGGAACGAATTGAGCACCTAATATGTTGACTTTTTTAATCGTTCGAAGCAAACTTCATATAATAGCTTCTCCAGAGGAATGAACATAATCTAGCCTTATATTTCAACTTCACAACACGCTATTTTGATAATGACCTCTTTCTTAATTATTAACAGTTTAGTGACTGTATTGGTAGTTTATAACTCATTGCCCTTAAAATAATGGATACCACAGATACATTAATGAATTGGATACAGCTTACCCTTTCGGATCATATGCGCTCCACTCAGTTTAGGTGTTGGTCGTTATTCGTTTGTTAATCATGTTAATGGTGATGTGAGTTTTTCTACGTCTCCCTTTTTTTCATCTTTGTAATGGCTGTGTGTAGGTTCTGTCGTCATTTCTAAGAAAACAATATACATATATTTTTATATAAAATACTTTATTGTTATATTTTTGTCATAAAGGTGTGGGGTATTACCTCTATATGGCGAAAAGTACACCACTGGGAAGCAGAACGGCTGCAGTAAGAAGTGGAGATTTTTTGTTTAACGGGGATAAGTGCCTTGAAATTTGGTATAACATTGATCATACCAGTCAACTTCGAATATACCAAAGTACAGTTAATGTAAACCGTTCACTTTCATGGACAAATATGAATGGCTCAAATAATTGGCAACATGTCAATGTCTCATTAAAAAGGGGTTTACCATATACAATAGTGATAGAAGGCACTGTTGGTAACAGCAGTAATGCTTACATAGCAATTGATGATACTGATATTCGAGATCGGTCCTGTAATGGTACGTATCGCATATCATGCATATGTTTGTATTTACTCCAATCCATTTCCTATTTATACTTGAAATAAGATATAGATATTTCAAACATTTCATGTACGTAGATCATATGTTAATATTCATTTGTTATACGAAAACATAATTGTGCTACCATTACCAAGGTAGCAATACCAAAATGAACACATATAAAGTGAATATTGCTATTTCATCAATAATGACTACACAGAACAATTATAATTTTGTTATGATTTCAATCACCCAACATGTTTTATTTTGATACATGTATGCTACATGTATATATTTATGTATCTAAAGGGCCAGTGTATATACTTGTACGTCAATAGTATAATCTTGTTACAAAACATTGTCTTTACCCAATGGCAATCATCACTGTGTATTTTTATACCCCACACTGCTGAACAGACACTGTTTATAAACACTGGTCTCAATTTCGGAAAGAGGAAGTACAATTTAACATTGGTTTGTCCTTATTCCACCAAAACATTGTTTTAGTAAAATTAAAAAAAAACAATGTTTCGCTTTATATAACAAATTTTATTAACCTTAATTGTGAACGAAATACTAGGAAATAGGGTTTTTGTGGAATATAAATATCTTTATGTACGACAAATAATCAATTGTAATGCCATGGGCTGCATATATTACTTTAGCAAAGCATTTTAATATTTAATCGTATCGTTTACAACAAATTTTTTTGATTGAACATTTCTTCGTTTTCGAGCTTCCAGTATTCACCGATTAGACACACCTCCCTTTTAATTTAAGATGTTTTAAATGCTGATTAAATCATCCATTTCGCCTTAACACGTGTGGTCTTGATCCTAACTGAAAAACATTATTTAAGATATTCTTGTAGTGTGCATGTTTAACATCACTTCCTTTGTGAATTATCAGTAATGTTGACCTACCGATTGGTCTTGGCACATGTATTTTTGTTGTTGAATACATTGTAAAAAATCAAATGAATACTACTGTATTATATTTGATTGATTAGAAAAACACAAATCAATGGATCCATACAACTTGGATTAACGGATGTATAACTCGGTCAAAAGACTCAGCCCTTGGTAAACCGAACAACGCCTATATTTATGTTAACTTTATATTCTTAGTCTTTGAATGCTTACACCTTAACTTTGTTAACATATGTTTATATAAAGATAGCAAATAAATAAACATTAGATTCATTATTTCTTGTTGGCTACCAATTTTCGTGAATGTCGTTGGTATAGAGGAAGCACGAATGTAAATTTTCAACATAGTATCAATTTCTCATAGGGTTGAATGCGAAATTTGGCAAAACCATGATAATCAAGTATCAACGAAAATATGTTTTCTTCAATCCAAGAAAATTGGTACCCACGAAAAAAATGAGTCTACAGAATATTATTATTATTATTTTATAATGATCCATTATTATGCGATAATTGTAAACCGTTTTGTGAACATTCTAATTTTGGGTATTATTGTACTGCAACTGACCTCGAAAAAGACGCTCAATTAACGAGTTTAATGAACTGGAATAACACACGGCTGACATTGATTTAAATGATAGAATAATATTTATTTTTCAATTTTCGTTTGGTCGTAAAAAGTTTCTTTGGTCGCAGTTTTTTTTTGTATTTAAGCCTGTTTATGTGGTATCCCTCAACTTTTGGTTTTGAGTAGTCATTTTAAAATTTCAAAATATGAATGTTTTATTCAATTTTAGGCTCTGTTCGTATATATTTTCGATTCACATATCAGCAAGGGTCATTGGAATGATGAAGACATAAATAATAAACCATTCCCGAAAAAAAAAAAACTTTACCAGTAAGGGCAGGTTTTTAGATGGAAATTTAACACATTTTTCTTTGGCTACCAATTTTCGTGAATGTCGTTGTTATAGAGGAAACACGAATGTAAATTTTCAACGTAGTATCAATTTCTCATAGGGTTGAATGCGAAATTTGGCAAAGCCATGATAATCAAGTATCAACGAAAATATGTTTTCTTCAAACCAAGAAAATTGGTACCCACGAAAAAAAAGTGAGTTCACAGAATATTATTAGTATTATTTTATAATGATCCATTATTATGCGATAATTATAAACCGTTTTGTGAACATTCTAATTTTGGGTATTATTGTACTGCAATTGACCTCGAAAAAGACGCTCAATTAACGAGTTTAATGAACTGGAATAACACACGGCTGACATTGATTTAAATGCTAGAATAATATTTATTTTTCAATTTTCGTTTGGTCGTAAAAAGATTCACATATCAGCAAGGGTCATTGGAATGATGAAGACATAAATAATAAACAATTCCCGAAAAAAAATAAGACTTTACCAGTAAGGGCAGGTTTTTAGCTGGAAATTTAACGCATTTTTCTTTGAAAACGAGAAAAAACATATGATTTAAAAACACTATTTGCTCTTGAGTGGAAAGAATATATTATCGAGATACTGCCTACAAATTTTGATGGACTAACTGCAAATAGTTTTGTTAAAAATCAAGAAATATAAACATCATTTATACCTTTTTTAAGTACGGAAATTTCATATTCGTCATTCACATCCATCAGTACATTTATCAAGTTCAATTACTAGGACGTTTTGTTCAACAATATATTTGATAGTTTTGATGTGATTTTGAATATAATCTGTGAATTATAAGATATTTTTTAGTTTTTGTAAGTGTGCTTTGATCACATATTGTTCTTTTTCTGCAAATAAGTTATATTTGTGTTGCTTAAGTTTTGACTTTTTATAGCAGTTAACTAAATCCTTTGGATAAGATTTGTTCCCGGATAATGGCCACTTTTGAAAGTTTACATCTACTATTCCAAAAAAGGAGTACGAATGAGGTTGAGTTCGAAAAATGCATTGTGTTTCAATGTTTGTCATACTTATTATATACCATGCTCACAGCGACTGGCAAATCCTTTTGATGTAAAGTCTCATCTCAAGTCACTGATCCATATCTGAACTGTAACGCACGCGCCTAAGGAACTTGAATCCTCAATGACAAAAGCATTTGATGTTGAAATACAAATTGTCAAATCGTTTTTCAATGGTGCGTTGAAAGAAGGTGACAGCTGTGACTTCTATGGTTCAATACTAAGATCAAAAATAAAAACCGAAGACTTAACGAAAAGGTATAAAATCAAGTGCAGGTCAAGTGAGAAACTAAATGTAAATACTAGTCCAGAACAAGTAACCCGTCGTGCCCTTATTACTGCTGGGTGTCGTGAAGACATTACAATGAGAAGAGGTTCTATCACCTGTTAACCTTTTTTTATTCAAGCGTCACTGATGAGTCTTTGGTTAATCAAAACGCGCTACAGACGTACAAAATTTTAATCCTGGTATCTTTGATGAATTTATTCAAACAGGGACAATAACAAGCAATCAACATGGTCGTAGATTTCTCCCTGCAATGTCGTCAGATTACTTGCAAGATTTACTTTGAACCTTTAAATCTGTCTTGCCCCAAACGTTGTTCATGTCAAGGCGATGAAGCGTGGTAATACCCATACCGGATTCGCAAACAATGACGAAGAGATTGACGCGTAACTAAGATTCTTGTATAATTTCCCAGTGTGAAGCTTTTTTTTTACTGTTTACCCCTATTTGATGAAGACCATGGCTAATCTTTGTATACCTTCAAAGATAAGTTATATAAGGGTCTTGGCCGATTGTAAATTACAACATTGTTAAATTTACATTATAATCAATCACTTTTCTAAAATAAAATAATGAGATTACACATTTTTGCCAGGATAATCCCACAAAGAGAATTTTCATGGTAACAACTAATTTTGTTTTACATTGAACCAACAAAGCAAGCTACACCTATAACTTTTTTCAAACCTCGGTTTCGCCTTGGTTGACAATATTTTTTCTTGATCTTTCGACTTTAATAAAATTGAGAATGGAAATGGGAAATGTGTCAAACAGACAACAACCCGACCAAAGGTCAGAAAACAGCCGAAGGCCACCAATGAGTCCATGTTTAAGTACATGACATTTGTTAATCTATAACCACATACAAATTTTTCAAAATACACATCCTGTGTATGCAAAACGGAAAACACGGTTTCAGTGTTTGAATTTTGTTATTTCAAATGAAGAAAAATAACTGAAACATATCAAGAAACTGCTGTTTCACAACTTGGAAAATAGTTCTGTTATGTGCTGGGGCTACAAATGATAAGCAATTTAAAAATTAATGGATGTGAAAGGGTAAAGGCCACATCTTCATTTTCTTTGTGTCTAAATGGGAAAAAATCAGAAGATTCATCATTGACGCCATTTTATAATGGTAGCTGTTCATACAATTACCTAAACTTGTCGTTTTGACATCCTTTGCAGTATATCCTTGTTATTAAATCGTTGTAGCATTCTATTGTGTATATCTAAGAAAATGCCTTCTTTTTTTCATCGTATTTGAATTTGTAATATATTTGAGGTTTGAACTTTGACCTCAAAGTCGCACAAATGTGACCACTGGGTTTTTACGACCAAATGTTTCTTATTGTGCACATTTCCTTCTTTCCGTCGATTTGCAATATAGGTGTGTGTTCTTCCGGTACATTAATGTTTTGAAAAATGAACTCTGGTTGCAGTAATATTACTGATAAGGATAACAAACTAGTATCTCAACAAAAATTACAATTAAACACATCTGATGGACTACATTATGATATTTTTACCAAAAGCCCTATTATATCATAATTAACAATTTTTATACTTTTTACTTTGTAATTTGAGTTCCTTTGTACATGTTGTATCTTATTACTTTGATCGTACATGTTTTTCATTTTTATGGAAGGATAGCATAGATTTATATTTAGTATTCTTTCAGAATCTCAACCTGTCAGTTGTAATTTTGAACAAAACTTTTGCAATTTTGAAGTAAAACCAGACTTTGATTTACCATGGACAAGAGGTAACACCGAAGAAACGGGGATTAGACGTCCATCATTTGATCACACTAAAGGAGGTACATTGCTATGTTATGCTACCTTAATAAGCAATTATATTTAGTCAATATTTCTATTTTATCCGTGTCAGTTGTCCTTTTCAAACACAATTCAAACGCCAAAGTCTTTCGATAATTAATATAGCTTCGCCTGTAATAGTCTTTATTATTTGTTGTTGCTCCTGACTTTTTGTGGTACATACACGAAGCAAGTGTAATCATTGACTGTTTTACAATTCAGTCAATTTATGTATATTTTTGCTCTTGAACAATTTCACTTACACATATGCGTGTCATTTAATCATTGACTTAGACAAGAAAAGCATGATACTAGTATTCATATCTTCTAATTTAAAACAGGTCCTTATTGGTTTATAGCTCTTCAACGTTTTCGGTCCTTATACATACTTGGCTTTCAAATATTCGGCTTTGAGCGTTCAATATGAAGGTAAATCCAGAGAAGCGCTTCAGACGCATGAAATTTATAACGTGTTGTTTTCAGTATGTTTATATATTTGTAATGATAAGTTTCACATGCTTGAGTTGTATCACAGTTATTATGTATGCTTCAATGAATAGATTGGTTACATTGTCGTCAGGTCACAGACGACGCTCTTTCCTCGTGTTGCAGAAATTGGGTTTAACACGGAAAATCTGTTAAAAAATCTCTTGATTCTTATTTAAATAAATGTATGAATGTTGTGAATATTCAAATATCACATTTTGAAAATAATTTAGAAATAAATAAAAGAGTGCATAATACGCCTATTTCTAGAATGAGAAGCAACCTGCAAGTACTCGCAAAGCGGTTTGTGTTTGTACGACAAACTAGTCAACAATGTACTTACCTGAGGTGTGATGAGATAATTGAAGCTGTTAGTTTTCTCCTTGATAATATTTATGTACGTTTCGACAATAAAGTTATCGACAGGTTTTAGGTATTCCCATGGGCACCAATTGCGCCCATTTAATAGCAGACTTGTTCTTGTACTGCTAGAAATCACAGTTTATGGCCAAACTCAGTAAAGGCCCGTCTTAATTGCATTTATTGATATATTCAACAACACTTATCGTTATCTTGATGATATGTTTTGGTCAAATAATCAAGAATTTCCAAAGTATACTGCCGAAATTTACACAAAGGAACTTACTTTAAATAAATCAAATATTAACGTTAATAACTGTCCTTTCCTAGATTTAGATATTTCAGTTTTACACGGGAAACTTCATTAAAATGTACGACAAAAGCGACGATTTTCCGCTCCCTATTGTTAATTTTCCTTTTTTAGACGGTGATGTTCCGTTGGCATCATCTACGATGTTTATATATCACAACTCGTTCGCTATGCCCGTGTCGGCTGTGACGATTTGGATTTCAATGAACGTAATCTATGAATGACTGGTATATTATTAAGTCAAGGATTTCCTTACCACAAATTACTTATAACCTTCACTAAAATCTTCCATTGATATAAAGATTTGGTTTGGAAGTTTGGTAGTTCCTGTAGAAAACTTATTTTTAACGGGATAACAGATCCTAATTTTTACGGAGATGTTGTTTGCCGAGCCGGGAAATTAAGATACGATCCGGGTAAACTTGTCGATCCTTTAAATAAACGTATTCTAAAAGGTTACCAATACAACACTATAATTAAATCTTTGGACATTGTTTTTATTGGTATTGATATTGATTGTGTTATCAGTAAATTAAAAGCAAACTAAATATTATTTTTATATACATATGCACATTCATGGCTCTACAATCTGTCGATACATGTATCTTGGCATTGTACAAGGTCATGTTTTTTGTAACTGTTAATGACGTCTTTACACTAAATCCACTACCTCAGGTTAGGGTGAAGGTTGGCGCCTGTTAAAACATTTAAACCCGCTGCATTTGTTTGCACCTATCCTAAGTCAGGAACCTGTTGCTCAGTGGTTGTCGTTTGTTGATGTGGTTCTTAAGTGTTTCTCGTGTCTCGTTTTTTTTTATATAGATTAGACCGTTGTTAGCCAAGGCTCTGTGTTGAAGGCCGTACTTTGACCTATAATGGTTTACTTTTTACAAGTTGTGACTTGGATGGAGAGTTGTCTCGTTGGCACTCATACCACACCTTCTTATATCTATGTATAACATTTCACTTACAGACTCCAGTGTCGATAGCTCTCTGTTTCTTTCCAACATCTTCCATTTGTATTCATTTCGTTTTATTCAAAAAAAGAATAAAAAATAACAGGACAATAATTTCATGCGTCCGAAGTGCTTTTCTGGATTTACCTTCACCAGGAACACTCAAAGCCGAATATTTGAATGCCAAGTATGTATAAGAGCAGAAACAGGTGTAGTGCTATATTATCAAATAGAACTTAGAAATAGCCGAATCCATCTAAAGTCAACTTTGCCCGAGAGAGTTGAAACCTTCGTTTCCTTATAATTTCCAAATTTATAAACGGACAATTTTAGAAAGGTTTGTTATAAATCATGTCAGTACCGAAGTACTGACTGCTGAGCGGATGATACCCCGGGGGCTGATAGTCCACTAGCAGAGGAATCAAACCAGTGCTGTCAAAAATGAAACCAACACGTTATTAAATTCATGTGTCCGAAGTGTTTTTCTGGATTTACCTTCATCAGGAACGCTCAAATCCGAATATGTGAAAGCCGAGATGTATAAGAACCAAAACAGTTGTTGGGTGAAGTTGAGGAAAACAGTTTGTTTAGGATGGAACGGTTGGTGGCCCGTGAATAAGTTTTGTCAAAATTTATGTTCGAGTGCATAAAAACAGTTAAGAGGTTTCTTATAGTTTAAAATAAGACGAAACAAATGATTTTATTTAGGCAGTTTGTATTTTGTAGTTTTCATTGGCAGACAAATTACAACTATCTTATTTCTTTATGGTCATGACTGACCTATGATTTTGAACACACAGATTAAGTAACATTTCTATTTAATAGTTCTAATTTTTTTCTTTGCATTCTACGGTTTCAATCTATCTCATATTATGTATCACAATATTTCTACACAGTCTACACAATTATTTTCCACCTTCTTCCCCTAATAAGTTTTAACCTCGAAAACATGATTATTTCCTGACAAAATAGCTTCGGTTATGTTCTATTGAAACCACCCTTATGGCACTTACAGTAACTCTATCAGTTATCATAATCACAAAGCATTTGTTTAAACAGTTCATATTATACTAGTAAATACTGAACGACCTCTTCAATGCGTTACAAAATTAATAGAGATCAACATGCGCATTTGACCTGGAAAAACCATCTATCTATATATATGCATTTCTATAGACTATTTCTGCGGGTGATTAAGAACTTGGTATTTCAAATAATAGATGTTGTTAAGTATTTTACATCAACGAGACAGCCCACCTAGTAAAAGAAAAACCTATATAACATAATATTATGAAGCTCAGCATGAAAAGAATGTGCACAAACGTATTAAAAAGCTGCACGCAAATGTGATGATTTCTACGCGCAAATGTAATGGTAATGCGCGCAAATGAAATGCAACGAAATCTTCAGCATTTTGTGTTTTTATACGACTGTAAGGTAACAGTATAACAATAAGGAGATCTGGTATGATTGCCAATGAGACAACTATCCACCAAAGTTCAAATAAGGGGATGAAAGCAATTTTCGGTCTTCAACAATGAGAAAACCCCATACCGTATAGTAATATGTGTTACAATAATTGAGAAATTCCCGTCAAACTTCTACTGAAATAAATTTCTGTTTAATATTTAAATTTGAAAAATAAATAACTGCATTATTCAAAAGTCAGATAGGTCCTAAGTGAAGTCAGTATCAAAAAATCGTTTACGATTTTACAGGATATTAAGGTAGTTAAGACAATTATCATTAACAAATAGTAATATTCTTACCAGTTATGTTGAAATTTAAACTATTTTGTTTGAGTGACTGATCGTTAAAAGACACTGTCAAATTCGTTCACAGTTTGTAAAGAACTTGTGTGATTTAGATCTTGACAAGGTGTTTATTTTTGAGGATCCCATACTGACCGCATGTTTTTTTTTTTTTTTAACTTTTATTGGTTATTTGTTCTTTAATTTCTTATATGATCTAATTTTTATTTGTTTGATAAAGCATGTTCTGCCTGCCTTTTTTCAGAAAATGGATACTACGCTTACGTACAATCATCAAATTATGTACCACCATACCGTCGTCGTTTAATCATTCCAATTGACAATGTATTAGAAGTAGGATGCCTATCAGTTTGGTATTATATGTATGGTGATTATCCTGGTCATCTTTTTATATATACAGTGGTGAACATGACAGAAGAGATTATGTCAGTTATCTTCGATACAAGAACAGTTATGTGGAGTCGTTTTCAAGCAAATGTCTATAACGTTACAAAGATAATTTTTGAATACAATTCCACCGACAAAAACAAAGGTGGAATAGCATTGGATGATGTATACATATCGCCCATCATTTGTGCAGGTACTTTAATTTTGTTAATGCTTCTCTTGAATAATAACTATAATCGAATGCAACATTAAACGAAATTATAGAACCATTTGGTAAACGCAAATATGAAGCATAGATAAAACACAATTCGACCATACTTGAAGTTTAATGGCTGTTATAGATTTTCTCACACAGATGTTGCATTTTGAAGGACTCAGAAACAGAAATAATCTAATTTACATCTATTACTATGACTTTTATAAACGATACACAAAATTCTCTGTAACAAATATTCTGTATGTTCCTGTCTTGTCTTGTTGTTGTTGTCGTTGGTCGCAGTCTATCAAATTTTTTTTTATTGTTTTTACATAAATTATTACATAAATTCTGTTAATAAAATGTTCCGATAAATAATGTATGACGTCAAATATCAATAGGAAAAAAATCATTTAAAAAAAAGATGGGAATCATTTCACGGTTCAACAAAACATGTTTTTCGTAGGTACAAACTGCGGACTAGAATGACTGCTCAAAGGCAGCAAACCGACTATGAAGATTTTACAACCATTTGGGCTTACGAACATTTCCAGCGTTGTTCTAATGGAAGATATAAATTATTCCAGTTGTATACATATATATATATATATATATATAAAAACAAGTCTAAATTGAAAACAACGTTCAAACCTATGATTGCGTAGGATAAAAACCGCAATCTTTATACGTGTGCATGCAAAACAAATTTCTTGGTAGAGGAATCTAAATACAGCACAAACAACATTTTCCAAAAGACCAAAAAAAGTGAAAAAGTATATTTTAACATATATATATGGTCGATCGTCAAAAACTATTTTCTCCGTGAGAAGAATTATAATACAAGTAACATTACCCAAAGATCTGTGAACGCTGTGAAAGTTCTAGTATATGTGAAGAATTGAAACAGGTACATGTATTACAATGTATCTTTTTGGTGACCGTTATGAAATATCCGTTTCACAGATGATAGTGGATATGTTACTATTGTCGTAACTACAATCCCGTCCCCTTTTCACGAATGTGACCTACCGAATTAGATTTATTACCGGGTTTGTGCTTACATGAGCAACACGACGGATGCCACCTGTGGAGCAGGATCTGCTTACCCTTCCGGAGTACCTGAGATCATTCCAGTTTTTGGCGGGGTTCGTGTTGCTAATTTTTTATTTTTGCATGTTGTGTTTTGTGTACTACTGTTTGTCTGTTGGTCTTTTTCTTTTTTTAGCCATGGCGTTTTTAGTTTATTTTCGACTTATGAGTTTGAATGTCTCTCTGGTACCTTTCGCCTCTCTTTTATAAATATAATATCCCAGCTGATACGCTATTCAAGAGGTTGCAATGCTTACCATCATTTCCTTAATAGAGGGTTGCTGCTTACATGGAATTGATAGAATCAAAAGTTACACTCTTTGATTTCTTGTCAACATTTTCTATTGTTCAAATTTTCCTGTAATAATCTTTTGATTTAAATGCATGTTTTAATTTATCCGATAATGGACTTCATATCTTAGTGTCAAAGACAGTTTTTAACAGATTATACTATCAATGGACTATAATTGCCTAATTCATAGTTACGTGTGTTTCTTTATTATTTTGTTTTATATACTTTCCAAAAATATTTTTATTCCGTTTAGAAAAGGACGCTAGCCATTAAACACCGAACTCAATAATGTAACATCTCAAATATTCTTGTTTGATCGTTTATGAATCGTTAAACTTTAAAACAACTTGAAATTTCATTTGATAACCATTAAATAGACTTGTTATATAACTTACCATGAGCAACATGAAGGGTGAAACATGTGCAGCAGGATTTACTCACCCATCCAAATGACCTGAGGTCAACCATGTTTTATTTTTGGTGGGTTCCGTTTTGCTAAATCATTAGTGTTCTATAAAGTGTTTTGTAAAATGATTATTGTCTCGTCTTGTCGTTTTATCTTTTTTCGACGTGGTCGGTTTCTCTTCGACTCATTCAAATTCAGTAAACCTTTTATATTACGTCAAAATATTAAAAAATGCTTCTACACTGTTATTCCACCGATGATATATACATCTTTGTCTCCTAACGACATTCAAGCTTGTTTTCATGGACCATGAGAAGTTTTAAAATGGGAATTATTGCATACCATTCAAGAATCTGAAAACAATAACTTCAATCATTTATATATTAGTAAATTGTAATTTGCATTTGTAATTTTAGTAATTTATTCATGACATTTTTCTGAGAAATAGGAGACTAAATCATGTTCAAAATCGCACATTACAAATGAATTATACGTTTGATACTGATGTTGACTTAACGGGTTAAGTATAATTTAAGTTATGTCGAAATAATCTAATAATAAATAATTAGATCCATGGGTATTTTCAAATAAAATAATGACATTTTATAATTTTTCATTCATAGCTAAACCGATTTCTGATGATTGTGTTAAGAATGACGAACATTTGCATATTCAGTGTCCCGTTTCTTATTTATGGAACGAAACAATAGCTGTCGATCTGAAGATTCCGAAGTCCTGCCACACCACTTCTGACCAAATTCATAGAAAACTGCAAAACATATTCAATCAATGCAACTACAGATCAATTTGCACGTTCACGCCAGATGAGCCCATTAATGACGATTTGTGTTTAAAAATGACAAAACGTTTGCTTCTGGATTATTCATGTATAGGTAAGATGTTAAATTAGAATGTAAAAGGCTCCAATAGATGTTTGAAATTAGAACATAATTCCCAGCATTTCTTTTGCAATATCTAACAATATCTATAATCAAGATTGTAAAAAGTCTGTTGATAAAAGTTAAGACGGTCAGCTTTAAAGTCAACGGCAAGTAATACTGAAAATAAATGATCTAGCATGTCTAAAATGCAAATATAATTGTTCATCGCAGTTTACATCCTTGTTATTCACAAGTCCTTCTAAAACAGCATCATTTGCTTTACCTTGCTACAAACTCTTGACAAAAGAGGGATGACAAGTTAAAATTTGGTACCGAAATTTAGTCCAAGGTAAAATTACACTTACCACGAGTGATACTATTTAAACAGCATTGACATTCATCATCAAAATGATGGATACAATCAGGTGTTTGACGTTTCATTTTTTCTTAGTATATCATCACATTTGTCGTGTTCCAATAGAACGAAAGTAAACAGATCGGTACATTCAAATAATGTTTTAGTTGTTTTTGTACTTAGCACCGATCAGGAAAAAATTGCATATTTCAAATATAAACAACAAGATAAAAAATGACAAAGTTAAAATAGTGTTCTTGCTTCAATATATCAGTTTCATATATTAAATTATAATTTCATTTTTTTTAAATTCTCAAGCAAACTGAAACCAAAATATAAATCAGGATCTGTACAATGTTAAGACCACTCAATGTTCTGCAATTAGTACACAGGCAATGACCACGGATCTTACACGTTTTTTCTCTCTACCAATTCAGAGGACAATAATTAAATAATTATCTGTTGTTTCGTTTTTTTCCTTTTCCTATAGTTGATGTGTTTCCCTCGGTTTTGTTTGTTACCCGGATTTCTTTTCGCTTAATCGATTTATGACTTTTGAACAGCGGTTTACTACTGTTGCCTTTATTTATTAGTTATAAATTCTGAATTAAATCTTTCATTAATTTCATCAAAGATTGCTTGTGTATAAAATGCACAACACTTACCGAAATGACACAATATGAATTCATAAAATGAACGAAGTATGCAGTTAGCAAAGAATACTACAGATTCAAGTGTGAAAGACGTATTCTTGTACTACGGGTTCCCGGAAAAACCTTCAACTCAACGCTCGAGAACAATAAATATTGTTGCGAATTTAGTACAATTGTATTAATGAAATCATTCCAATATCAAATCACTAGTTATTAAGCAGACGAAACCCTTCAGGGACTAACAGTTCACCACACGATACCAACCAAGTCGTGGTTAAATATGTACAACAAACCTCGAGTTTCTATTCATCTAGCCTTTTTAATTGGATTTTAAATTTTGAGAATAGAATCGTCTTTTCGAGGGGACAAATCGGTTTGATTCCACAGTCTTATAGTACATGGTATAAAAGACTCTTTAGTAAGAGATAATCTACAAAAAGGAACAATAATATCATTGCCATTTTGCAAGTGATATACAGTAAAGTTGTGCTCTGTACACAGGGTGGAACACGATTGCATAGATAATCTGGAGCTTGTTTATATTGAATTTTATAAAACATTTGTACTTTTTGTCTTCTCCTCCTGTCAGCTAAAGTTTCCCATTCTTCTTCTCAATACAGACCGTCAGTTCTTATAAATATAGGTAGACACGTAACTATTCTAGCAGCCTCTGACTGCAAGCTTTCAAGTTTATTACAATATCCTATCCCACAATTATCCCAAAACTCAGTTGCATTTTCAGAAATTGGTCTTATGAATACTAAATAGAGTTTTTCTACATGTTTCCTACACAGTTGGTACTTGAGTTTTCTCAGTGTATTCAAATGTTTTGTAACTCTTGTAATCAAATTACCTATATATATGGCTTTTCCACATAGCATCAGAGCAAAACGTTACCCCGAGGTGTTTGTGACACTTCGTAACAAGGATTTCTTTTTCATTTAAGCAGAATTTATGACTTGGTGCGTCATTATTTGAAAAAAATCATTATTTCTGTTTTGTCTGGATTAAAAAAACATTTGCCACTTTTCGGACAATTCGCCCTTATGTCACGATCAATAACAGTTTTTATATGTCCTTCGTCGTGGCCCGAGTAATTAAAAGAAGCTTCATCAGCATAGAGTCTGGTCAGAGATGTGAATTTCTCTGCAATGTCATTTATATAAATTATAAATAATAAGAGACCAAGTACCGAGCCTTAATGCACTTAAAGACTGCAAAATGAGGATGCTGATTTATTGGTCACAACTTTTTGTTTTCTATTTTAAAGATAACTTTCAAACCAGTTAAGTAAATAACCACGTATTCCGTAAGCTATCGTTTTACATAAGAGCCCTTTATTCCCAACCTTGTCAAAAGCTCTGGAAAAATTGCAAAAGACAATACAATTTATTTCCTTTTTAAGTATACAATTACACATTTCTAGAAGCTGGTGTACTGTTGAATATTGTGGCAAAAAAAAAAAAAAACTGATTTTCATAAATTAGCTTGTTCATATGTAAATGATTATATACATTTTTAAAAACAATTCGTTCCGTGATATTACCTACACAGATTATTAGAGGTTGGCCTATAATAGTTTATAAGTAATGAAGAATCACCTTTTTTAGAAATAGCAATGACATTTACCGAATTAGACTATTTACCGGATTTGTAATAACATAAGCAACACGACGGGTGCCACATGTGGAGCAGGATCTGCTTACACTTCCGGAGCACCTGAGATCACCCCCAGTTTTTGGTGGGGTTCGTGTTGCTTAGTCTTTAGTTTTCTATGTTGTGTCATCTGTACTATTATTTGTCTGTTTGTCTTTTTATTTTTGGCCATGACGTTGTCAGTTTGTTTACGATCTATGAGTTTGACTGTTCCTCTGGTATCTTTCGTCCCTCTTTTACAATCTTAAAGCTAGAAGGATACTTGCATTTTTGAAAAGATTTTTTTAACATGATTTGTAAAGAAACCGCCACTTGCCTAGGGCAGATTTTCAGCATTCTGTGATTTATCAAATCTGGTCCCGATGCCTTATTCGGATCAATAGTTTTAATAATATCCATTATTTCATTTTGATTGATGCATGTAATTTGAATATTAGTTACTGTATTAGTTTTTACTTCCAACTCTGGGACAGGAACATTTTCTTCCTCGAATTTGTATATCAAATCAAAATATTTGTTCAACAGGTCACACTTTTCACTATCCTCATATACTATGTCACTGAAATACTCATCGTTTATGATATGTTGAGGAGGAATATAATTTGAACCCTGATTTGACTTTATTAACATTTTCATTATTTTCCAATAGTTTTTTTTTTTCAATTTGGAGCATTACTTAATCAGTGGAATATTCAGTGAACGAAAACAAAAGAAAATTCACTCTTCTTATGATAAAGTCGAGAAAGACAATAATAAAACAATGCTGGTGACGATACTGATCAAAAGTAATTTCTAAATAATTATAGTTTATTGTGTTATTAGAATAATACATGCAAAAACACGATGTTTTATTTTCAGTATTTATTACGATAATTACATTAGAAGCTTGTGAAACTGAAATTTAAAAAATGACAATCTTTGCTGCATATCGATAACAAAAATTGGAAAAAAATCATATACATACAAAATCTAAAGATCTTTCGGTTCACCAATTTTTAGAGTGTTCTACAAAGTCCTTAGCATGTTACAATTCTCAAAATATACTTATTTTTCACATTCTAAGTTTTCGAGTACACCGGTCTGCTCTTGTCACATAAAAATTCACTATAGAAATATCGTCTTTTCATGTATATAGCAATATTAAAGTCTGTCTGTGCAGATTAAAACATTAAAAATAAATATTCTTATAAAGTAGACATCTTTTTACTATTTTTTATACAATTTTAAGAAAAGGTCGTCTCGATTTTTGTACTTGTATTTGCGGTCTTCTCGATCTGTTCACATTCAATGTTTACATCGGGATAAGGTCCGTTTGAATTTGCTTAGTTACTTAATTTCAAAAGTGTCAATCTTTACTGCATATCAATCGATTCCTTTGGAATGTTTTCCTGACTTTCTCTGATCTAGCTGCATATATATACGGATATCCGTATAGTTAGCATGTTCCAGAGAGGCATACAGCCAGAAAAAAAAAAATAATTGAAGTTGGTACTCCAGGAATTTATTCGCATAGCAACATTTTAAACCAATTTTACATCAAGCTCCTTTAGTCTGCTGATCTCTTCGTTTTCTATTGAAGAAGGGAAATGATAACATTAAATGGAAGTGTTGTTTTTATTTTAACTTATTTCTAATTTTGATATTTACCGGAACGATTTCCCGTGAATTTATAATTGATAGCGTCCTTTGCTGAAATTGGACAAACATTGAAAAGATCTAGTTTTCAGTGTTTACAGGGGAGGAAATATTTTGTCACCAGATTTCCCACTGCAATATATAATCGTATCTAAATTAGTTTCAAATCTTTAAATTAACTTGTAGAGTCGTTTCTGTTGATTATTTTTTGCATTTCATGGATTCTGTCTATCTATTATAGTTTTTAAGATATTAAAGGAATGACTAATATTATTTAAGTTTATGAAGAAATAACATTAAAAGTGTGCACATCATTTATGAGTTAATTTCAAATTGACAGAAAAAAATACAACAGTCATTCATTATAATTCAATTCTAAATTCCACTTTTAAGGAGTGAATCAAGAATAAAACGTTGATGACTAGATTTTTACTAGTGTCAAGCTATCCAGCAGTTCTCATCCTGCAATTCTCTTTATAAAAAGCTATCCTGCAATTGCGTTTGGAAAACTTCTTGAGCGACAATTTATTTTTCTTTAAAATCATAGTTTTTGACTCTTTTGTTCAAAAACAAGATTTATATAGAAAATAAAAGATTTGTATATCCGATTAACAAAATTTAACTTTAGTTTGCAGATTTCTAACTCATATTTACGGTTTTGTAATAAGCATTTCCAATAAAAAAATCATAATGACGATTCAAATAAAGTATTATCTGTTAAGTCCAGAATATGATTCGTATTAACGCATGTTCAAACAACATTTGCAATTTTCAAAACTCATATTAACGACTAAAAATATAGAATTTCGACGTAAAATAAAAAAATTTTCATGGCATACCGACTTAAAAACTTCTATTTGAAACTGGGTCACCCACCTTCCAAACCGCTGCCTCAACAGTTTTGTATGGCTAGGGATTATAGACTCTGCTGTAATAAATAGCTATTGGATAGTACTACAGTGTGAGGATAAAGAATTTTTGGGGTAAGCATTCTAAAAGGCCGAGAATTTCGTCAGAAACAAGGAAATAAGGCCAAATTAGATAAAATACGCATTTGGGACACCCACTTTCTGACCCATTGTCGCGGGAGTTCTTTATGACTAGGGATTATAGAAGCTGCCCTAAGGAATAGCTATTGAATAGTTCTACACCATGAGAGTAAATAATTTCTGGGGTAAGCATTTTAAAAGACCAAAAACTTCGTCCGTAACAAGGGTGAAAAAAATAAAATTTGATAAAATACGCAGTGGGGTCACCCTCCTTCCAATCCATTGCCTAGGCAGTTCTGTATGGCTGGGATTATAAACTCTGCTCTAATAAATAGCTATTGGATAGTACTACAGCGTTAGTGTAAACAATTTCTGTAGTAAGCATTCTGAAAGGTCGAAAACTTCGTCCGTATCACTGGAGAAAAAAGTCAAATTCGATAAAATATGCAGTGGGGTCACCAACCTTCCAACCTATTGCTTCGGCAGTTCTGTATGTCTAGGGATTATGGACTCTGCTCTAATAAATAGCTATTGAATAGTCCTACAGCGTGAGGGTAAAGAATTTCTGGGGTAAGCATTCTGAAAGGTCGAAAATTTCGTCCGAAACATGGAAATAAGGCCAAATTCGATAAAACACGCATTTTGGACACCCACTTTCCGACCTTATGTCGCGGGAGTTCTTTATGGCTAGGGATTATAGACGCTACCCTAAGAAATAGCTATTGAATAGTACTACACCATGAGGGTAAAGAATTTCTGGGGTAAGCATTTTAAAAGGCCAAAAACTTCGTCCGTAACACGGGGGAAAAAAAAGTCAAATTTGATTAAATATGCAGTGGGGTCACCCACCTTCCAACCAATTGCCTTGTCAGTTCTGTATGGCTAGGGATTATAGGCTCTGCTCTAATAAATAGCTATTGGATAGGTCTACCCTATTAGGGTTAAGAATTTCTGGGGTAAGCATTTTAAAAGGCCGAAAACACGGTGAAAAAAAAGTCAAATTTGATAAAACATGCAGTGGGGTCACCCACCTTCCAACCCATTATCTCGGCAGTTCTGTATGTCTATGGATTATAGACTCTGCTCTAATAAATAGCTATTGAATAGTCCTACAGCGTGAGGGTAAAGAATTTCTGTGGTAAACATTCTGAAAGGTCAAAAATTTCGTCCGAAACATGGACATAAGGCCAAATTCGATACAATACGCATTTAGGATACTAACTTTGCGACCCATTGTCGCTGGAGTTCTTTATGTCTAGGGATTATAGACGCTACCCTAAGGAATAGCTATTATATAGTACTACGCCATGAGGGTAAAGAATTTCTTAGGTAAACATTTTAAAAGGCCGAAAACTTCGTCCGTAACACGGGGGAAAAAAGTCAAATTTGATAAAATATGTAGTGGGGTCACCCACCATCCAACCCATTGCCTCGACAGTTTTGTATGGCTAGGGATTATAGACTCTGATCTAATAAATAGCTATTTGATAGTACCACAGCGGGGGGGGGGGGGGGGGGGGTAAAGAATTTCTGGGGTAAGCATCCTGAAAGGTCGAAAATTTCGTCCGAAACATGGAAATAAGGCCGAATTCGATAAAATACGCATTTGGGACACCCACTTTCCGACCCATTGTCTCGGTAGTTCTATATGGCTAGGGATTATATCTTCTTAAAGGCCAAAAATGTTATCCGAAACATAGAAATAAAGCCAAATTCGATAAAATAGGCATAAGGGTCAACCATTGTCAATTGCAACGGAAATAATATTAATCTATGATTTCTTTGCTTGCTATACATTGATTACAAGAAAATAAACCCACTATCTTATTAAATTCAAGCGCAAGCCACTTACACAAAACATGCGTAATACACTCGTTCAGATTTGTTTTACGAGACATTTGTTAAAATAAAGATAATATCAGTTGCTCATTTAAGTTAGACATAATTTTAGGAACTACTTTACAAGACCGATCGTGCATCCCATATCTGTACTTTAATGTCTTTTGTGTGGTAGATCTTCATCAAGCACATACTATATTTCAAAGATTCGAATGTTCGCATCTTAGGAATGTTTACGCCAAAAAATCTGTAATATCTGAATGTAGTATTATCTAATAACTTTATAATGATAATTTTTTTGGCAGTCATACTGTGAAATGGCCTTCCACACTCTCGGCATCCTGTAAAGTAGTTCCTAAAAAATAGCAATAATATTAATGTCTAAGTTAAATGAGCAACTGATATTATCTGTATTATAGCAAATGTCTCGTAAAACAAAACTGAAAGAGTGTATTACGCATGTTTTGTGTAAGTGGCTTGCGCTTGATATAAATAAGATGGTAGGTTTATTTTTTGTAATCAATGTATGGCAAACAAAGAAATCATAAATTAATTTTACTTCCGTTGCAGTTGACCCCAATGCGTATTTTATCGAATTTGGCTTTTTTTCTATGTTTCGAGCGAAATTTTCGGCCTTTAAGAATGCTTACCCCAGAAATTTTTTACCCTCCCGCTGTAGTACTATCCAATAGCTATTTATTAGAGCAGAGTCTATGATCCCTAGCCATACAGAACTGCCGAAGCAATAGGTTGGAAAGTGCCCAATGCGTATTTTATCAAATTTGACTATTTTTCCGTGTTACGGACGAAATTTTCGGTTTTCACAATGCTTACCCCAGAAATTCTTTATCCTCACATTGTAGTACTATCCAATAGCTATTCATTAGGGCAGCGTCTATAATCCCTAGCCATAAAGAACAACCGAGACAATGGGTCGGATGTGGGTGTCCCAAACGCGTATTTTATCAAATTTGGCTTTATTTCTATGTTTCGAGCGAAATTTTCAGCCTTTAAGAATGCTTACCCCAGAAATTCTTTACCCTCCCGCTGTAGTACTATCCAATAGCTTTTTATTAGAGCAGAGTCTATAATCCCTAGCCATACAGAACTGCCGAGGCAATAGGTTGGAAAGTGCCAAATGCGTATTTTATCAAATTTGACTTTTTTCCGTGTTACGGACGAAATTTTCGGTCTTCAGAATGCTTACCCCAGAAATTCTTTATCCTCACGTTGTAGTACTATCCAATAGCTATTCATTAGGGCAGCGTCTATAATCCCTAGCCATAAAGAACAACCGAGACAATGGGTCGGAAAGTGGGTGTCCCAAACGCGTATTTTATCGAATTTGGCTTTATTTCTATGTTTCGAGCGACATTTCCGGCCTTTAAAAATGCTTACCCCAGAAATTCTTTACCCTCCCGCTGTAGTACTATCCAATAGTTATTTATTAGAGCAGAGTCTTTAATCCCTAGCCATACAGAACTGCCGAGGCAATAGGTTGGAAGGTGGGTGGACCAGTTTCAAATAGAAGTTTATAAGTCGGAATGCCATGAACAAATTATTTTACTTCAAAATTCTTAATTTTTAGTCGTTAATATGAGTTTTGAACAAATGGCAAATGTTGATTAAACATGCTATATACGAATCACATCCTGGACTTAACAGATAATACTTTATTTGAATCGTCATAATAATTTTTTTATTGTAAATGCTTATTACAAAACCGTAAATATGAGTTAGAAATCTGCAAAACTAAAGTTAAAATTTTGTTAATCGGATATACAAATCTTTTATTTTCTATATTAATCTTGTTTTCGAACAAAAAAGTCAAAAACTATGATTTTAAAGAAAAATAAAGTTGTCGCTCAAGTAGTTTTCCAAACGCAATTGCAGGATGACGAATTGCAGGATAGCTTTTTATAAAGAGAATTGCAGGATGAGAATTGCTGGATAGCTTGACACTAGTTAGATTTTTTTGTAGATCTTGTCTTGCTGATCTATTACAGTTTTCAAGATAAGAGGAAAAAATGGGGATAAATGTGGAAAATCGTCACTAAAGGGCACAAACTTCAATTAGAAGTCGACAAATTATTTTGGTTATGTTGACTTAGTTGTAGACCTTGTCTTGCTGATCAGTTTTGATCAACATTTGTTACGCCAATGTTATATTTTGATTAATGTTTTAGATAAGTCAGTTTCTGTGACGACAAGCACGCGGACAGCATCATCTACACCACAAACGAACGGTATGTTATGCATTCTAATTATTTTTTTTTACGTTTGTGCATTCTCATCTATGAGTATTATTATCTTATTAGATATCCAGAATTGTAATTTCAAAATGATCGTAGACTGGGGACTATATAGAATGATTTGACAAAATAAGATAGAGAAAGAATGGATGGATGAAAGAATTTGCTACACATAAAAGACGGAAAATTATTGGTTTAACTTTTATAATGATTTATTAACAAAAAATGAATACGTGATTCACTAAAATAAAAAAATTCCAGAATCTACAAAACAAAATGTATTCGAAACAATAAATATATGACACTAACAGTTTTAAAATCATGATAAGAACAGCACATACAAATCTTACTCAACTATTTGGCAAAATTTTATTATAACAGTTTTTCCATTGAATATCTAAATGGTTTAATCATATTACTGTCTATTTGTCAGAAAGAGTTAAGACTCATTTCTCTTAAAGTACTATAATATGATAAACACAGAGAACTATATGCTATGCATCAAAAGCGCTTTTCTGAATTTACCTTCATCATGAACGCTCAACGCCAACTATTCAAAAGCCTAGGCTGTATACGTACCGCAACATGTTGAAAGCTATAAGACCAAAAGGGACCAAAACAAATAGCCAAATCCATCTGAGGTCAACTTTGTTTGACGGAGTTTTAACCTTAGTTTCGTAAAAAGTTCGACATCCATAAACGGATACGTTAAGAAGAATAAAAAATATATATTTAAATCATGCCGGTAGTGAAGCCCGTACTGCGTAAACTTCTTTACCATATTTGACCTTGGCATGAAACTAAAGAAAACTGCCCAAATTGACACAATCAACATTTTTAGGATTACATTTGTTTTTATTTATGTTTTACATCTTTAAAACATGAAACACTCTGTTGATATGTATAGAATAACTGAACAAAATGTATCTTAGTAGGTACATGTAGATGATGGACTAATAGAAACAAGTATGCCTCGAAGCAATCATCTTATATTAGGACTTACATGTAAAACTAACAAAAAGGTTTTCAAGTAATTTACACAGGTGCATGTAAAGTAGCATGGCGATTGCTATCACTTACTTGTTGTTTTTTCATTATTTATTTTAGATACAACGTTTTTAACCACATTTGAAAGGCAGACGATATCAACATCCCAAAAAGCTGGCGGTATGTTTGATTTTATAAAAGCTGATTTGAAGAAATAAAATATAGGTTTGTCTCAAAAATCTGAAAATTTACAAACTTCTATAGCATAACAATTACTATGCTGTAGAATGTCAGTTTAAAATTAATGAAGTCGCGCAATGCATTATATAACGTTTGTGTATCTGTACAAATCCTTTCAGTCTTCCATAACTGTTATATACCTTGAATTCTCAAGTGGAATCCGAAGACGTATAAGTTCTGAAACACGTGGAAATCTATATGACCAAAAAGGAACAAAACCAAATAAACAAATCCATCTGATGCCAACATTATTTGCGGAAGTTTAAACCTTAGTTTCTTTTAATTTTTAAAGGACAATTTAAGAAAGGTACACAACGTATGTTATAAAAACATAAACGTTACCAATGTTAATGCACTAGATGCGCGTTTCAACAATTAATGTACATCATATCATTAGCTAAACACTTGCTACAGAGCTGAAAAATTCTTGTGAACTAATACCGGTGTCAATTAGCAGGGGTGTCGACCAAGTGTTGTAAAATATAAAAATAATACGTCATAAAGTTCTCTATATAATATATAATATTCTCTACCATAATTGCTCTTTTAATGTAACTGATGAAAATTGCTCAAATTGACAAATCTTCATAATGTGGAATCATTATCATTCATGGGATACAAATTTTTGTGGTTTTCGTGGGTACAGGTAAACCACAAATTTCAATCATCAACGAGGTAAATATTTTCAATACACTTGTATGTAGACTTTGGGAAACAACGAAATCAAATACTCACGGAAAATGGTATCCACGAAGATAAATAAATCCACAGTAGTATCGTGACTATAAGTATTATTTTTTTAATTTATTCTTCTTATTTTGCAATACATATTGTTTAAATTTCTTTGTAAACATATCTAGAATTACTGAACAGAAGATATCTTAGTTGGTAGATGTCCAACTAAAAGGATCAATTATGACTCGAAACGGGGATCTCTAATTATTACTTAAAGATAAAAAAAAAAAAAAAGCCTTGAGTAAGTTATTTCAGTTATTTACACAGGCACATGCAAAGTAAAAGGTAATTACTTGCTGTTTTTCTCATATTTAAGATACAACGTTTTTTACAATATTGGATAGGCAGACAATATCAACATCACAACAAACTGGCGGTAAGTACTTTTATGCGCTGATTTAACAATCATTGCAGCTGCTGTTTTGTCTCAAAATTATGAAAATTCACAAAACACTGTAGCTGTAACATAAAATGTCCGTTAGTAAACGCAATCGCGCAATGCATTTTTTTACGTTTAAGTATCTGTGCAGATCACCTCAGCCTTTCATAACTGCTACATGTATATACCCTGAAGGTTCAAACTGACTTCGGTACTTGTGACAAGGACAAGGAGCACTTAAACAATGGGCATTTGTTTGATTTGTTAGAACATAAATGACAAATCGTGTTTATTCATCCCAACCATCGACCACAGTCTACATGACCATTGCGGGCATTTAGCGTCCATTTTCCAAAAGATCGGTGTAATCATGAAGGACATCTGGTTTAAACGGATCTTTTAAAACAGTGACATTACATAATGCAACATATTCTCTTTATGTAATGGTTTCTATCAAAAGAACGTAAAAAAGGGGAAATTGTACGAATGTTAAAAAAACGTTGTGATTTTAAGGACTGTAAACAAAGCATCTTTATTCGATAATGAAGCATATACAGATGTGTATGATGTGGACTTCATAACTAGTTGTGTATGCTCTGAATTTAATGAAGAAATGCTCTTAATAAGGACAGACCAAATGCAAGATTTTCTAGAACGAGTTCATGAAAGATGACTGTACCAGTATTATAAAAATTTGGATTATAAAATGAAATGTTGAACGGCTATGTGAAAGCCTAAAAGCATGTAAGGTGTGTTCTTAACTCGACTTTAACAAAAATTCATTAGGGATGAGAACGGAAACCACGGGTTAGCCTCCTTATCGGTGTTTCACAACCGAATATCCGTGTTATGTTGTTATGTAAAAAAAAACATAGATTTGTCCTGATAGTTGTAGCTACAATATTATTTCCCGGCTGCATTTATTTCACCTAACATTGAATGCGACGTATCGCAGTAATGGAACGTATGATGACACAATACAACATATTCAACTGAAAAGCAGGAACTTCAGTTCTTTCTGGACCATCTGAATTCAAAATGTGGTTAAGGTTTGACTGAATTTGTTTATTATTAAAGGTTTCATGATTGTATGTTGACTGTGTTTTTTTTCGTTTGTTTCTTTAATTTGTTCATGATTTGGGACCTTTTTTTTCTTACCTTATAACAGTACTGTGATTTACGATGAGAAGCAGGGTTTGACTTTAATTCATTTAGTAATCTCTAATCTGCCAAGTTAAAATGAGTTTGAGACGCCTATAATGTATCAGTCGTATGTTTTAAGGGAAATCCATGTATGCTCAGGGGCGATGCAGTATGTGTGATACAAATACATTTTTTTTTAATTGTGCATAGTTTTTTATTGTGTTTTTTTTCTGTTCTTTTTCGTTTTGTGGTTTTATCAAAGTGTTTTAATTTGCATTACTCAAAACTAAATTGGGTAGTATTTATGAAAAGAACTTAAAATTTATGGCGGTTTTACAAAAGTTAACATGACCGCAAATTAAGTGTATACTCTAATTAAGTTGCAAATGTATCAGGAAAAAAATACACTTGCAATATTGATAGTATTGCAGCTGTTTTCTGAATTTGAAAGATGGTGATGACGATGCATTAAATATAAGTGTATTGTCATGATATAAACCAGCGAGATCAACGCAAAGTATTACGAAAGGACGCATCTGTGCGAGCTATGTCTTTTGACATTAACTTACATCAAACCATTAATCACTCTAAAGGCGTGCATTGATGTTTGCATATACAAGTTTGAAACAAATCTGGTTTATTGACCGTTAAGGCGAACACAGTGGCACATTGTTCCATTAAAAATACTGGTTTAAATGTTTCAAACTTTTCATAATTATATAAATACGATATCTTAAAAAATTTGAAGGTGAATTTAACGATTGTTTTTTTTTTTGCATACTTCTAAATACAAAATGCCAAAAGATTAAATAGAGCAAAAATATATTAATTGCGAATTCTATATTTGCTTAATTAAACAGTGTTATACATTGTTACAAGCATACACATAGATTAATATAATTCTAAATATTTGTACGTACCAAAATTTTTCATTTAATGGATTGGGTCATTTTAATATGATATATCTGAATATTCTAAAGTTGCATGTTTTATTTTCCTCAGGGTGTGAATGAAATAGATACTTTTTTTTAGTAAAGATAAATTTGAATAGACTGAATCTCAAATCAAACCATGCGCAGAATGGGGCTAGAAACTTAACGTTCCAACGTTTGAATTGTTTGCCTTAATAGAATTCGTTTCCAGTTTGGTGACACAGCATGCAGTGTTTACCTTTTACCTGATACATGTATGAATCTTAGTGGAATGCCCAAATCTAGTGAAAATTTGTTCGTTGCATATTGTAAATATATTATGTTTTATCTTTCAGATATTACAGATACTAATCAATCTAGCTCGCCAAGTTCAACTTCAGTTATAGGTACACATACTCATACTAATTTAACACGATTATAAAAAAGAGTAGGCCATTTTCATCAGTATTCATTTTACTGGACGCAAAGCAATCAATCGAACCAATTTGGCCCCTTACACTACCGGAAATTTATTCAAAGGAACTTGCTTTTAAATTAAATAAATATAATAGTAACAGCAATACTAATTATGCCTTTCTTGATTTGGATATTTCAATTCACTCGAGAAATTTTTACTAAAATGTTCGACAAAAGATAAAATTGAGAAAGAGACGATTTACAGTTCCCATTCCATAATTTTCCCTCTTTTTGGCAGGATTGTGATGTTTCTTTGGCCTTTCTTACGATTCATAGATTTCCCAACTGTTTAACTATATGCCAGTGATTGTAGTAATTAATTTTTTAGATACCAATTCACGTAACCCGTGTATAACTGACAAATCCTTTAGTCTTGAATTTCGCTACCACAACTCACTTGAAATCTTTACTAAGTAAACTTATTTCATAAAGATACAATTTGGTTTGGAGGTTTCGCTATGCCTGTTGAAACCGTATACCAAATGTGATCCATATAAACTTATTGTTCCGTTAAACATGTGTGGACACCGAATGGTGCTGTCTGGTGGACGATTTTATTTAATGACATGCACAGGAGCTGATTCAGGCACAGATGCCATTAAAAAATTATAAAATTGTGTTGTGTTGTTTGGTTGGCGAATATGGACACTGGCTTACGTTGAAATAGTAAAACAGGTATTTAAGGAAGTAACAAAACATTAACAATGAAGGACAACTCTCAAAAGAAACTCTTGAAAATTACCACGACTGATAGTGTTCTGCAAATATGTTACATATTTGATTTTGTCATCATGGTCATACCTAGACTCCCAAAGCCAAATTGAAATTTGAAGGATTTAAATATGTAATATATGAAATGAAATTTGAACGAATCTTTATTTATAGACTCCTGAATCGTGGCATTGCACAATGTCATGTTTTTTCTGTTGTTAGTTGGCTTTGAACTAGCTGTCAGTAACTGCGAGTACGCTCATATCTGTACTTAGTGTCTTTTTGTTGTGGGAATGTATAGGTACCCTGCCACGTCCGCTCTGTATTTTTGTTAGATGTACAGTATTTCTGCTTTTGCTCATTGTTGAAGGCCGTATGTTGACCTAAAGTTGTTAATGTCTGTGTCATTTGGTCTCTTGTAGAGAGTTGTCTCATTGGCAATCATACCACATCTCCTTATTTTTATATCCTACAGCAAAACTTAAATTCAAAGGATATAAGAAAAAAATAAAAGCTAATAAATATTTTGAAATATAAATTTAATGCAAGATATACAAATCAATTATATACTTTAATAGTTCAGAACGTTAAGCAACCAACAATCGATCAATTAATACTTCAGATTATCGCTATTTTACGAAATTTTTTCGTTGATCTTACTGACTGATAATTTCCTTTCTCAGCGGAGTCGAGTGATATGAAAAATTATCGCTAGAAACTAAGGGAGCACGTTAATTAACAACGTCTTCATAGGTAAAATAGCGATAAACAGATTATCATTGGTCATCTCAACTCGATTGCTTTTCTCAGTTTCGCCGTACCGGCTCAAGCGAGGAAATCAATCTCGTTGAGATCACCAACGATAATCTATAAATATCAGAGAACATTTTAGTGTCCTGTTTGACCGTCCGAGTTGGATCGAGGTTTTGTGTCTTCACTTTATTTGTATATCTCTCCTTACTCTTGAAAAATGGGAGTATTTCCAGATCCATTTGGCTCACAACAAACTTTTTTTTTATACACAGTATAGTAATAATCTCTTTCTTATAGGTAATTTATCATTGTAGTAAGATCTTTGAAAATTGTCTTTCTTGGTACATTTAACGTTGAACCTATTCTTAATAATTTCATAAATAACTTAAGAAGTATTGTTATTAAGGTATGAACAAGTGTGGTCCTGAATCCCTATGATACTTATATTTTGGCATTCCACGGGGTCATTACTTTTCTCAAACTGCTGATGACGTTTTTAAACTAAGTACGTCGGAGATGTTAGACAATTTAGTATGAAAGAACATAGTTCAATGTATTGTTTGTAATTACAGCTATATGATTTTATAAATGTAACTTTCGTAAACTGCGAATATTGTTAGATCGATATTTTTTTGTTTTTTGTCTTTTTGTTATTTGATGTTGAGCACTTTGTGGCATTGACCGTTGACATCAGAATTACCCTACGACTATGAACATTTCAATAGAGAAAACTAACGGCTATATTCATAACAAAAAAATTTACGAAACAAATATATGATAAACATGAACCAACGACAACCACTGAACTACAGGCGACTGGCTTTGGACAGGCACATACATAATGTGGCGGTGTTAAAGATGTTTTTGAGCGCGCAACTCTCCGCCTAACTTGCATAAAACAGTGGTGTTACAACACAACATATGAACAAACTATAACGAGTTAGCTAAATTGAAACTGATCGACTTGTACTTCAGAACTAAAATTAGATTTAAAATGTCAAATCGAGTTATATCGTTTATAAGAATAAAGTACTGATGTTCTTTCTCTGTGTTTTTGCAGGGATTGTCATAGGTGTGCTTCTATCCTTGATTGCACTGTCAGTTTTTCTGGTTATAGCAGTCGTTTATTTTAGGAGGTAAGATATGTTATTATAAATAAATGTCGTATTCAAATGCAGATATTCAATTTGAGAAATAAGCTACAATGTATGGAACAAACAAAAAAGTGTTATTAACTTACTTCATATCTTGTTCATGTTAGAATATGAAAGTATATGCATGTAATTTGCTTTACTGTAGTAAATAATACATGTACTACATTTACAACATTTTACGAAAAGAGCTACGGCTGGCCATAAAAAATCGCTTCCATTCTGATAGTATAACTGAAAACAACCATTCAGATCTTTCCAGTCTCCGTGTTTTTTCGTGCATCATTTTTCGGAAATTTATAGCTTGACATAATTGTTTTATTAACGTTAGTTTTTCTGAAAGAAATCGACATATTTAGATGGTTTTTTAAAAAAAAATTGTCTTTTCTGTTGTTGTAGTCTCCTTTACGTACACATTCTGTTGTTGTAGTCTCCTTTACGTACACATTCTGTTGTTGTAGTCTCCTTTACGTACACATTCTGTTGTTGTAGTCTCCTTTACGTACACAATGTATATATAACCGGGCGTTTTTCCGGCTATAGTAATTCAAAGACGGAATACCAATACTTTAACTTTATTAGCAAGATCCGGACAGTACCAGACCTAAGACCTAAACTGACAACAAAATAACATACAAAAGCATATATAGAAAACAGTTACTATAGCAAAGGATTAGTGTCCAAAGGATTAACTTGTCATCGTCAGAGTGATTTCCATTACGACAAACATATATTTAACAATAGAATTAATTAAACACAAAGAAATGTAAAAGGTTTGATAAACGGATTAATAAATTGTCACTATAGCACTTAAAATATATTGTCGGAATTAGCTTTATTTCTATTTCACATTTGTCCAAATCTTCCTGGTTATATTCGCCACTACTCCACCTAAACTCGGTCTCCGAGTTTGCCGAATGAATTTTATTATCGTCGTGGGTATCCTCCTCCTCGCCGATGACGTTGCTGCGAATTGCCACGCGAGCAAATTGCAAGGGTCGAACGCACATCTCGGTTTGAATGTTTTATATCTAGATGTTGAATCTCGTGTCTACTGTTTACGTTCTCTTCCTTAAGTCTCTGAATTTCGTCTTCCATATCATTTAAGATGCGATTGTACTGCATGTCAGAATTTTTGAACTCCATTGTTAAGCGTTGTCTGGTGTTCGTTAAATTTAGGTTTTCCTCTTTCAGTTGAACTATTACTCTTTCCAAATGTTCATTTCTATCTGTATAACCACTTATTTCTTTTTCAAAATTTTTTAGTTTGACTTGTATGTTCGGCTAATTCATGTTCGATCTTTTGAATTATCCGGCCATGTTCTAAACGTTCCAAATTTAATTTGTCCAACTCAACATTACATTATCTTTCATTACGGTATCCAATTTAGAATTTTCACACTTCAGTACAGCGATTTCTTTGATGAAGTTTCGGTTAGACACTTTCAACTTGTTAATGTGTAGTTTCGCGGATTCGTCCTGTATGGAGCACATAAAAGCGGAGAGTTCCTTGTCCTCGAGTTCTTGAAACGGAAATTGAGACATTTGTTTCTTCTCAATAAACGTTTTCATTCGGTCGCTGTCTCTTTGAATTTTTGACTTTGATTTCTTCTTCGGTTTTGGGTTTTCACACGACTTAACGTGAAAACTACACATACGGGCAAAATGTCCATGATGTCTGCACTTGTAACAATAAGCGTTAGCTGCATAACACCGATGGTAGGTGAAAACGTTCAATGTCTTACCGCAATATTTGCACAGAAAGTCCAAATAGGTATCTGCTTTTCTCATCGGAAACGGATGTCTATTTCTGCAAGGCTGGTAATTCCAGGTTCCTTCCATATAGTTGCTTCTAGAGGTATTCATTACTAGTTTGGGGGAACTAGCTCAAGATCGTGCCGCGGGTACCTCAACCAATATATAACCGGGCGTTTTTCCGGCTATAGTAATTCAAAGACGGAATACCAATACTCTAACTTTATTAGCAAGATCCGGACAGTACCAGACCTAAGACCTAAACTGACAACAAAATAACATACAAAAGCATATATAGAAAACAGTTACTATAGCAAAGGATTAGTGTCCAAAGGATTAACTTGTCATCGTCAGAGTGATTTCCATTACGACAAACATATATTTAACAATAGAATTAATTAAACACAAAGCAATGTAAAAGGTTTGATAAACGGATTAATAAATTGTCACTATAGCACTTAAAATATATTGTCGGAATTAGCTTTATTTCTATTTCACATTTGTCCAAATCTTCCTGGTTATATATACCTCGCATCGCCTTTTATACACATGGATTTATCGGAATAACAAAAGTATTTAAAAATAAATGACATGAAATAACCCAAATACGTGTTGGCCAGAATCAACATCAGGGCACAGCATGACACAACAAATGTACATCTGAAACACACTATGTTGTCACTTTCAATTTGATTGAACCAAAATTACGTACTGACCCACTAGGTTAGTTGCCGCTTTCTTTGAATTATAATCCATAATCAAACCAGATTTTGCTGTGATATTTGACCTTATAGTACTTGATCGAATGATTTATACGTTTTATATATATTTGATTTTCCTAATATTTTATCTAGTGTGTGTCTTATTATAAATTATGTTATTTTTGATTGATTCAACGAAATTGGTATACATAATTTGTATTATTATCACATGATCACGAACGGTAACTGCTGTTGAGGACTGCCAGTCAACGAGAGTACCGACCGCATATTAGGAAATGGTTCCGGACAGGCATATTTTTGACTGTTATTTCTCCTATTCTACATAAAAAGAATATTATTTTCTCCATTAATCGAATGTGATGCTCTTCCTTCGCTTTGAAAACAAAGCCATGCTATTTTAAAATAAAACAGGTGGTGCACGCGCTAGACATCATAGTTAAAATTAAAATGTCGGTAGTATTTTGAACGACACCGAGGATGAAAATTGACATTTCTGTTCGGGTTGATCGCTATAAAATTAGAAAAATAAAATCATAATAAAAGAAAGTCTATATGTCCTTGTAATTTGTTAATCGTGACACAGTTTGTTATCTAGAACGTGTTTGCTTCAAATCAAAATGGATGCCTTTCAAACGTATTTTAAAAGTCCGCTTCGAAGTACACAGTAAGCGAATTCAAATTATGTTTACATGACGTGGCCTATGGTCATTTTGGTATTGTGTAGGCATGATATTTGTCAATATTTTCACGTCGCTTTCGCTCGGTCTAAAAGACAAGTATAATAACTAACGGCGTCGAAATTAACATAGAGCATGCCATAAACGTTTTTTTTTAATTACTGATATTGTCCTTGTCATGTAGTTGTTTGATGATTCCGCACATTTGTTTAAATTGATCTCAAGCATATTCAAGACATTGTTTAAACTTGATTATCGGTCTTATGAAACTGTGCCAGAATAAACATTTTCACTCACGTTCAGATTTTGTTTTAATGTGTTCAAAATCAAAGTAATTTTCGTTGTTTACCGATCGTGCGAAACCCTCGTGGGTAGTCGAGTCAAGGTCGTTAAACACCCCCTAGTAGTAGAAATATATTAAAAATATTGTCTATAGATACTGTCAATTTGTTCTTTTCTACTTAACAACACCAATAACGCACAACATCTTGCCACATGGGTCATGATGCACTATTCATTTCAAGTAGGCGACAATGATAGCCTTTTTATAATTTCCACTATCCATATCGTTAGCTTGGAAATCTATGGTGGCTCGATCCTAAAATGAAACATTTTCACAGATGTGGTTAAATTTTCGGGATATAATGTGAGATTGAATTTTTCAAATTGGGAAGCCTGAAGGGCACCATGTGATGCAGCTTTAGCAATTGAATACTAGTAGTCCACATTTTCACACAGTTTAGTTCTCTGGAAATTCAGTTCTTTACAAAATCTTTTTTACATCTGAATTGTATAGTCTTCTGAAAAAAAAAACAGCAAATAGATAAGCTCAGTCAACTTCTACAAGCAGCATCATGTCCAAGTTTACTCCAAAGAAATTAATGGAGGTGATGCGTTTATTTTGTTGTTGAGTACAAAATGTATACATCACTGATAAACTGCATAATCTCCATTATTATATCTGATACAACTTTAACCTTTTATTGTCTTGTTGATGAGTATGTTCTCAGATATTTATAATTATGATAATTTGGACAGGACCTTGTCAAATGTTTTTTTATGAAATGTTAATATTTTTAATAAACCAATTATTTTAAAAGCCTAACGAATGTATTGCTTGTTTGTTCGCATAGGTATAGATATGCGGAAAAGAAAGGACATTCAATTGTAGCAAATGAAGACAGCCATAGTGATTATACTGGCCGTCAGAATATAGCATTTTCACCGGAAGTCAACGTCACCACTCAAACAGATTACTGTGAAATACGAAAATCTAAACTTAACGAACACTACCATGACATTTCTGACACCTTTAGCCCCTCAATCAACACAACAAATGATGACGAATACAGTGAAATTGCGAATGTAGTAAATTCAACTAATAGTAACCCGAATCCATCTACAAACTATCAGCATCAATATATTACTCTGGATCCTAATGCAACTGGATTCGATCGGTCAAATCCACAAACTAATTTGAATAATTCAAATGAGACAAACAGCCTCACAGGTGGTGATGATTATGCCATACTTGACCCTGATGACCTTAATGAATCGAAAAACAATACTCCGAATGTTCTATCATTGAGTGACAACTACGTTGTTTTAGATCCGAACGAAACCGGTTATAACAGACAAGAAAACACGGATAGAGTCTGTAACTATGAACTTTCAACTTCTTTCAATCCGACAGAAACCTCTGAAAATCCATACGACGTTTCCAAAGATGAAACTTACGATACGTCTAGTAACAGCCGCCATAAGGAAAAGGAAAATAACATCTATAGCCACACGATTGACAACGTGTACGATACTGCAGGTAACCAAAGAAAGAAAGAAGAAAGCGATGGCACATATGATCATTTCTTTGGACAGAAATCCGAAGACGATTACGACATTTCAAAACCAATATAAGAAAGACCAAATTTATCCAAGAAAAAGAAATATGTAAATACTAACCAGAAATCCTTGTGCATAAATTTACTAAAATGCTTTAAAGATTTTGAATGTTTTAGATATACATGTACATGTAAACTACTTGTATGTAAATATTCCAAGATTGTATTAGTATGGTAAATAATAAGCGATTCAATGCAAACCGAAGCTACGACCAGATGATAATTATAAAATAAGTTCATATCATCATTTATAACATTGTTCATTATTGAAGGTCAACTTAAATTTCAATTACAGTATTTAAATCACTCAATAAAGGTTTCAAATTGTCTAAAATGAACGCAAGAAACTTGTGTGCGCTAAATTGATATTCAAATTATGTTCACTGTACATGTACCTGATTTACATTCGCAACCAAAGTAGCAACTTACAGAACGTATTGTGTACATGTGCGTGTATTGATTCAAGTACATTTTATCTACTTTTACACGGAAATATATGACCGAAATAGCCTTGAAATAAAAATCGTCGATTTGCGATATTTATCGCCGCTTATCAGAAAAAAGAAAAATCTCATCATAAAAAAAAATCCGTTGGCAGGTTCTTTTATATATCAGCATTATTTGATTTTTAATTTTTATTTTTAATTATTATCAAAAATACATTTTGTATTATATGTTCCAATCGTAACCACAATCCCGAATGTGACCTACCGAATTAGACTTGTACTTACGTGAGCAACATGACGGGTGCCACACGTGGAGCAGGATTTGCTTAACCTCCTGGAGCACTTGAGATCACCCCGGGTTTTTGCTCGGTTCGTTTTGCTCAGTCTCTAGTTTTCTATGTTGTGTTTTGTATGCTGTTTTTTTTTTTTTTTTTTTTTTTCTTGTTTTGCAACTTGAGCCATGATTTAGAACTGCAAATGAGATATGGTAATAGTAACTGTTACACTTTCCGAAATCAATTAAATATAATATCCTGCAGATAAAAGTACAAATGTAAAGGATGCACGTCAATATATATAGCAAACACAAACATGTATTGAATAATTTGACTGTAAATTACCTCCAATTATCCTAAAAATAATAATGTAATTATCACTAAAATTTCTGTTTTATTGTTAAAAATGTATTCTGTTTTATTGATAAAAATGTATTCGGTTTTAGATTATTGATATGACTTTAAAAAAAATGTATAGTTGGTCATCGAATTCTTTAGAGTTTCCATTGTTTTTTGTCATTCTGTGTATAAGTTTCAAACATTTACACCAAAAAGGAGACTTTGTAGGAAATGGTTCCGATAGATAATATTGAGCAGTCCAAAATTGCCGATTTTTAGTGGTATTTACATGTTTTCTATATATTGCAGTTCATAATACATGTAGTTGCATGCGCAATATCATTAAAATCTGTGTGATTGCTCGTATATATACCTGACCTTTAGCAATGTATAATTTCTTAAGGGATAAAAGTTGTATTTCATTTCCCTGCCATTAGGATTGCATTTTTGTGTACCACAGACAGGCGAAGGAAGTCAACTTAAGAGCGCCGTGATTGGATGTATTGGTATAATATATTTTTATATTTTTTGATGAATAACTGCAGTGTGTATTTTTACAATATAAATTTTGAAACACATAGAAATATTTTCTTAAGAATTATTGGAAAAGGTTTCCAAATTTTCATAAATTTGATGTACAATGACGGTGACCATAGATACTATAATCACGTTAACTTCAATTAAGAGCGCCGTGATTGGATGTATTGGTATAATATATTTTTATATTTTTTGATGAATAACTGCAGTGTGTATTTTTACAATATAAATTTTGAAACACATAGAAATATTTTCTTAAGAATTATTGGAAAAGGTTTCCAAATTTTCATAAATTTGATGTACAATGACGGTGACCATAGATACTATAAACACGTTAACTTCAATTTCTAAAACAGAATAATAAATGACCAAATCCCGCATAACTGTTTTGTTTTTGTTTATAATCATAAAAAGTGAAAAATTTTAAAAATGTTAGTAAGGTCACCTATGGTGAAAACAATACTACCGCTTTTCCGTAAAAACCAATGACAACGATCGGTAATACATGTAGGTAACAACGTTTTAAGCAATATTTACATTACATGTATGTTTCATTATAATACGTTTTTATGATTGGCTAACAGCAATCTCGCGTCATTCTAAAATTAACCTTCATTTAAAAATGAAATATAACATTGATAGAAATCGTGTTTTCATGATCCCAGAAAAAAAATATAATTATAAATATTGAATGCTTCTTTTATTAATTTTATAGGGTTGTAAAAGCGTTGACCGTGCGCACATTTTTTAGAGGAAGCGCTTCATACAAAATGTACTTCGGTCAACGCTTTTACACCCCAACAAATTTACAAAAAGAAGCATTCAATTCTTAAAGTTAAATTGCGGGATTAAAACGATATATTTAAATCGTCGAAAATTTAAAAAAAAAAATATAATTATGCTATTGATTGTACTCGCTACATGTATAAAAGTGTGTCTAATGATCGTACAAAGAAATTATGTTTTTTTTCTGACAAACTACGTATATTGTATACAAAAAAAAAAAACAAAAAAAAATTATCTGAAAATAAATGTTTATCTCCTTCATAATATCCTAAGAGGGAAATGATGTGGGGGTGTCCATAAGACTACACGACTTTACAAATGAATGCTAGTAATGATCAATACATCAATTACACAGCAATTGCAGGGTTGTTATTCATCTTGACGCTGGAGAGATCATCTGCGAGCATGGTCAAACAAGCCGTATTCTTGCTAAAAATAGTTTATACGCGTAACGTTTTAATGATTCTGACCATTGTCATTACTTAATTCTTTCTGTTCTTTGAAATATATTTGGTAGATGGCAGATCTGTGATTGACCCAGTTAAAATGTATTACAACTTTCCTTTACTCAAATGTTTAGCATAGACACTTGGAAATTACAGAGGACCGTACGCTGATCTATAGTACATATGACTTTTTTTGTGTTGTTGGTTTATAGTCTCATAGACGAATATTTTATATGCTACGAGCCTTGTTAACTTTGGTCATCACTTTGTGTCCGTCGTAAACTTAAAAAAAACTTCTCCTGTGAGACCATTGATATAAAAATAAGAACATGTGTTATGTCTGCCAATGAGAAAAATATTCACAAAAGTTCAAATGAAGTGGATGCAAGCAATTATAGAGAACCGTACAGCCTTCAACAATGAGAAAACTCCATACCGTATAGTCGGCTATAAAAGGCACCGACATGAAAATATGAAACAATTCAATTACGAAAACTAACGGCCTAATTCATAATTTGTCAATTTGTACCTAGATTTGCTCCTCTCACTCTCAGGTTGTCTTGTGTAAAAGTATATATTATGTCAAACAACCGCCTTACATAATTCATGTTACTAGAAATATTTAACATACTGGTCAAATGCATATAGCTGTCTATTATAATTCTTAAATTATGCAACATAAATGAACGAATTATTGTTTAAATGGTTTTCTAGAAATGCTCTTTTATAATAAATCCGATATGATCCCTGTTTACCAAACAAAGACGATTACCCTTACAATAAATAGAACATTAAGTAAAAGGCATATATTTGTCTATTATTCTGAGGTTATTGAATTCCTCTATAATTTCCCGTTCAGAATACAATCAATTTCATTATTGACCAACAAAAAACAGCAAACCGTTTAAAAATAGAAAATACACCAAAAAATGTATTAAAGTTTTTGCAGTTTAATAGATAAGTGCTTACGCATGCATTGCTTATACATGATAGAAAAGAAAGGATATGGGGTATTCATACATGACCTAAAATCAGTATATGCACATCAAAAAACACAACAACCAAAGGAACAGCACTTTTATTGCTGTTCTTCATCTCAAAGTCACAGTGAGGCCTTCAACTGAAAGCAAAAAAAAAAAAAACTCTCACCTCTCTGCAAGTTTAGGACGGCCCTAGAACCGGTTTGAGCGGAATTGTTTGCAAATTGACGATCACACCACAACTATGAATTGAAGAACAAAGCTATGGAGTAATTTGAATAAAATAAATCTGGCAAAGAAATCAAACATGTACTGTACTTGCTTACATGCCGCTATAAGTTCGGTCAATATATTCCTTATCATTCTTTATTTTTTAGTGCACTTTTTTAGATACAATTAATTCAATCATTTATACATGAAAAAGTATATAATCTACATGATATTGATGAACAGTTTTTAATCTCACTCTTCTTTAAAAATCCATCAATGGCTCTTAATCCTTATCACAAAACACCAATATGTACATTTTGTATTTTGACATTGTGACATCACCGAATGAGACTTACAAATGTATCACAGAATTTGTTCTTACCTTAAAAAAAGGTGCTATTATGGGAGCTAGATCTGCCTACCCTTCCGGAGCACATGAAATCAACCAACTTTGTGCTCGATTTATGTTGCTCAGTATTAAATTTTCTATCTAGTGTTTTGTTATCAAAAATAAGAAGATGTGGTATGATTGCTAATGAGACAACTCTCCACAAGAGACCAAATGACACAGAAATTATAGGTCACCGTACGGCCTTCAACAATGATCAAAGCCCATACCGAATAGTCAGCTATAAAAGGCCCCGAAATGACAAATGTAAAACAATTCAAAAGAGAAAACTAACGGCCTAATTTATTTACAAATAATGAACGAAAAACAAATATGTTACACAGCAACAAACGACAACCACTGACTCACAGGCTCCTGACTTGGGACAGGAACATACAGAATGTGGCTGGTTAAACTAGTTTGTTTGTTTGTCTTTCCGTTGTCTTTCTTCCTTTTTTCGTGTTCGACTTATGAGCATTGAATGTCTCCTTGGTTGTTATTATTTTCTATCTATTCTATGTCTTTAATGTTCCTTATAATACTATGAAAACTGAGTCAGATGATCAGTATGAGTTCAATAACTCACATTGAAGACCAATTTAAAGTATTACCATTTACGAATAAGGACATGGAGTGTGATTATCAGTTAAAGGAAAAGAATACAGTTTAAAAAAACAAAACGTTTTTGCAAAAATGTCAAATTTTACCCATATATTTCTCAAATTCTTTTTCAAGGAGGTAAATCTAAAAATAAATATTGTAAAATACGTTGATTGAATTGTCATTTACGAATATAATTTCAGACATCTGAATATATATTTAAAAAATCATCCATAATACAGTGTACACTACTCTCCGTGACTGATTGATTTTTTGATGCTAAAAAGCAGTAATTCTTTTCTTTCTTCATAATGTTAATGTCATAATCATATTCATTGTAATGAAAAATATATCAGTTATTAAAACATTATTTTGAATTACAGAAGCGATCCCTTAAATCTATTTGTTCAATGTATCCGTTACCATTGCCCGTTTCATACGTCATATTTGAAGAAGAAAATGATATATAGTGTACAAATGCATACGTCGAGTTACTTTTAGTGTGTAAAGTTTTATAAAATAAAGTCTTGACAGGTCCTTGACTTTCATATGCTTACAATGTTTTGACGGTAGTGATTGATAGTTTTTGTAGGAAGACTTAACTAATTGTTAGTGCAATTTATTGTTCCTTTGGTAACACAATATATTGTTTCTAAATTAAATTACCAAAGGCAACCGAATTAAATGCTAGGGCAGCGCTATCCTTGTTTGAGATTTGACACTTGTAATCTTACCAAATTTCTGTTGCATTAATTTTTTAGCATTTTTTTCGTATCTGTTTTCAACAGATGCATATTATTTCATGAAATTGAAATTAATACGATGATTATGAAAACAATAATGAGATAGCAGCTCATATACAAAAGTAATAAACAAAACAAAAACAAACAAACAAACTAAAAAAAACAAACAAATTAATGCAAACACACATACACACGCCTATAAATACCAACTGACTTTTGCTGTTATAACAAAGATACCCAGATAAGTTCATTCAAATTGAAACAAATGGTATTATAATCAGGCTAATATTTAGTTTTAGATTACATATGTTCATAAAATAATGTTTTCTTTTTAAACGAGGCATTTGACTGGATTCCAGTCATTTATTCATACCGTTGGAAGCTAACAAACGCAGGCAAAGATCCGCCTATTAAGATCTGAAGTGTGATACCTTAGGCTATATAAACCATGCTGTTTTATGAAAGCAAACTGTAGTGTTGGCTTCAATTATTTGTTTGTAATTTTGTATCTTAATATGCTAGTTATATGGGTTTATCATATTCTCAATCATTCTAGAAGTCGAAGTGTGAGTGTAAACGGCGCGTTGAAGAACCATTGTTACAACTCCCTGTTGTAAGGCAACATGTCTGCCATATCCATAATGCCCCTGCTTTCAATGACAATATTTTAGTCCGAACTTAAATCCCGGTCAACATACTTTGCAGAACCTACTTATAGATTTATTGTTATATTGTTGGCGTCCTGAATATGCATGAAATATTTGCCACTGAACGTGGAGCAAACAACAATAAATCAATCAATCGATGTACCCTAGTTAAAAATATGTGATGGCCGTCTGATAAACAAAATATTTAATTTTTATTACTGCTTGTATATTTATACTATAACCATTA